AATTAATATTGGAAAAGCAAGTGGAAGAAATATCTTAGCATTTAGACCAGAAACACAAAGATAGAAATTGTGAGGCAGGGAGAAAAAGGCATCTAAGGCACCAAGTATACAAATAGTAGAAGTTGCTGAAGGAGAAAAAATAATAGAAGAAAAAAATTTTGAGTGAAAAAAGCTAGAATCTGCACATTGAAAGAACTCATGAAGTCTGTAGCAGGATTGAAGCGGGTATACAGCACATGCCTAGATAAACACTGTTGAAATCCTGAAATGTGAGAATAAGAAAACCTTACAAGCTACCAGAATAAATTATTTTCAGAGAAAACAATTATATTAGTATCTGACTTCTTATCAGCAACCCTAAAGAGCTAGAATACTGTGAAAAATGTTTACAGGCTCCTGAAAAAAGAAAAAATAAGCAAAAATGTTGTGATTAAGACAGCCTTTACCTATTTAGGCAAAAGAAGTGTATTTTCAGACATGTAATCATTCAGAGGGGCCAAAAATTAAAATTTTGGTGAGATTGATGTCATGATAAAACCATAGGAAGTATAGCCATAAAAGTGATTTAGGAATAGAAAGCTGTAACAAGTAGCACAGCTGAAAAATAGATACTCAAAATTCATAGGAGAAAGAAGAAAGAAAAAGGTGAACAAACCATTAAAATTAAGGAAAGGGAAAAAGAACAAATAACAGATCAATGTTAAATACAGCATACAATATAGACATAAAACTAGCTGGGCATGTTGGCACATGCCTGTGATCCCAGCACTCTGGGAGGCTGAGGCAGAAGGATCACAAGTTCCAGCCTAGCACAGGCAATTTAGCAACTTTAACAATATCCTATTTCAGAATAAAAAAGGTTTGGGAATGTAGCTCAGTCTAAAAGCCCTGCGTTCAACCTACCCTACCCCCTCGAATAAAATAGGCATAAAACCATTTAATGAAACATATTCTGCTAACAAAAGACCAAGACTATCAGATTGATTTCACAAGTCAGCTATATGCTATTTCCAAAAATATACCAGTCAACAGGTAGGAATGATTACTTACTAGTCAAAGGAAATTGACAGTGGCTTAAACAATGGATTGTTTTCCTTACTTAAAAAGTGAGAATCATAGCCAGGTGTGGTGGAGCACATTGGTAATCCCAGCTACTTGGAAAACAGACAGAATTGGAAACCTTAGGCAAAACTGGGCAACTTTTTGAGATACTGTCTCAAAATAAACAATATAATGAAAGGACTAGAGTTATGGTAAAGAACTTGCCCAGCCATATGTGAGTTGGTCCTAGGTTTGATTCCTGGTATCACAAACAAAACAACAACAACAACAAGCTTCCTGAGTGAGGCAGATACTAGGGTTGGTTTAGATTCCTGATGTTCCTTCCCATCAGAAACCCATACTTCTTCTGTTCTTTGATGTTTGGATCTTCCCACCTCACCTGATCCTTGGTCTGTTTGCATTCCTCTTCATGTCTTATGTGTAATCTCTCATGCAGCTTCAGACGTTAGACCTACGTTCACAAGAAGGGAGAAGGTTGCAACAGCCATGTTTGTTCCTTTAGTAGAAAGTCAGTGCTTTTACAGAAACCCCGCAAGACTTGTGCTTATATCTTATTGTCAGAACTTTGTCACATTGGCTCCTGGTTTGGCATGGGAGTGGGGGTGAGTGGTGCTGAAAGCGAAGAATTTAGTTAAGCATATTCCTGCTCTCAACAAAATCAGAAATCTTTTACAGAGAAGAAAAGAGGAATGATTAATAAGTAGATGTGCTAGTCAGTAGAGGCTTAGTTATGTTTCAGTAACAACCTCAAAAAAAAAAATAATGCAAGTTTGTTTTTCCCTCTTACTATACTTATCATGGGTTGACTGAGCCTTCGGTGGCACTGTCCCTAGAAATATGTGAGTTGCATATGTCACTTAAAGTTTTCTGCTGTCCACATTTTTAAAATATTTTAAAATATGAGTGAATTAATTTTAGTAATTTAACCCAATATATCTAAAATATTATTTCAACATGTAATTACTAGAAAAATCATTAGTGGCATAATGTATGTTCTTTTTATCTTACTAATATGTTGAAATCAGGTGTGGGTTTTACGCTTAGAGTATATCTTAATTTGGGCCAGCTACCCTTATGTGCTCAATAGGTACATGTTACAAGGAGCTTCTCTATTAGACAGCAACACTTATTCATGGACCTAGACTGCAGAAGGCCCCACCTTTTTGCTTCCAATATTGTCACAGCAGGAAAAGGGGAATGTGATAAATCATACTAGTTCTTTAAGTATTCACTCAGAAATAGCATAATGTTTCAACTTATTTTATTGGCCAGAACAAATCACACCTAACTTCAAAGGCATAATAGGAGTATAATCCTACCATGAGCACAGAAGGAAAACTGGAGTCATTTAGTAAACAGTGCTCATATCTATTACAGTAAGTGACACAACTAGTTTTTGACACAACTTTTAATACTGTGAATAAGGAAAGTAGAAAATTAAAAAATGAGCAAAATGTTTAAGACAGATCAAACAGAAGCAGTAATTTTAGTATGAAGGAAGTGTTGCTAGCAAACCAGGCAGAAGTCAAGGTCAAAAGCATTACACAGGACAAAGCAGAACATTTTACAATAAAAGGTGTAATATATGAGGGGTGTAAGCCCATAGGCCTTTATAAAATTAACAGTGTAGCAGATACAAGAAGAAAACTCTTTAAATGTGATAAAATCTGTCTTCTAAAAATTAACAGCAAATGTAGGAAAATCATTGGTAGGTTCTAGTAGGATAAAACTAAAAAATGAAACAACTGGTATAAATATAGAAAAGATGCAAAATTAGTGTATTTGCAGATGACTTGCTTTGTTACATAGACAACCCCAGAAGACTATAGAAGTTGATTAGAATCATTGAAACATTTTGATAGACTAGCTCTGGTTTAAGAAAAAATGTGCTGTTCTTCTGAATAGGGAAGTGCAGTTTATATGGAAGAAAAAATGTCAAAGAAAAACTGAGAAAGTTTTGGAAAGAAAATAATGAAAGATAAATTGGCCTTGGCAGATATTCAACCATACTCTACCTTGATACATCAGTGAAGTATGTAGGATGATATTCCACTGTGATCTGTACCTCAAACCCGAGATCCTGATCTCTCTCACAATGTGCTTTCCTCACGTCCTTCCTCCCTGAACTTAAAAATTGTTGCCATAGGGAATTGCTATCAATAAATAACCATACACCTGTAGAGGAGAAAAAAAAAAGAAAAGAACCACTGCCATCATGGTAAACATTATTTAATATCTGCCTAGATGAATTGACATGAAGAAATGGCATCATGCCCTTGGAAGGTTTCCTTAAGTACACACCCACCTCTTTCAGGGGATAAGTGCCTTTAAAGGCACTTGCTTTGGCAGAGCTGAGCTCACTTCGACTTAGTGTTCATTCATAGACTTCTTTCATGAATTTGTCACTCAAGCTTTTTCAGGAATTAAGTCAACTGTGAGTTAACTTATGAAGTGGCAGGGATGCATTATTTGAATGACACTTGACTGTTCAGTGTGTGAGACCAGAACCCCAAAGGAATAGCCCCCATCAAAGAAGAACAGCTAATTCCCAGAGAAGGATCCTCTGCCCCTATGCTCATTTTGGCCAATACCCATAGAACACAAAACCCAGGCCCAATACATGTACAAACAGGTCCTAAGCCCAACTGTATTGCTAGGTTCCAGGCATTCTTCATTCTCTAAACTCAGCATGCTAGAGGAATAGGGAGGACCATGGATAGAATGAGACAGGTGACCTCTAGGCCCCATCTACCTGGCGTATTTATTTGGCCCTTGAAAAATGAAGACTTGAAGCTTTTCTGTTTCATGCTGCTTCTGTAGCAGTGGCTGGGGTAGCAGTCATTATTACCATCATATCTATAACCTGGAGCTGGGCGTGGTGGCACACGCCTGTAATCCCAGAACTCGGGAGGCTGAGGCAGGAGGATCACTGTGAGTTCAAGACCAGCCTGGGCTACATAATGAGTTCCAGGTCAGTCTCAACTAAATAGTGAGACCCTGTCTCAAAAAACCAAAAACAAGAAAACAAAACAACCTGGATATGCAGGCCAGTAGCATGCAGTGGCTAAAAGGAGTGAAGACCCAGATGGCAGAGACTATGGAGGAGATAGATGGAAATTGAGAACAATGTGAAAGAACACAAAATTACGTGCGTACCCCTTGCACACACATGTGTGCACACACATGCACATGTAAACCTCATTGGTGATCTCCAAGCACAAATATCTATGTAGAAGAGCATCTATGCTTGCTCACTGTCAGTGTTTTGTTGTGCCCTGAAGATGAGCTTTTGTGGTCTCCATCATTACTAATGTGTTCATCTTTCCATCCGAAGTATGGTTCTGAAACTACACTTGTGTATGAGGACTGTCTACAGTCTCACACTAAAACAGTGCTTCTCAACTGGGAATGAATTTGTCCTTCAGATTTGTATTTGTCGGTGCCTTATCATTGCTAGCAGGGGTGTCCTACTGCAGGTAGAGTTCCAGGATGCTATTGAACCTTTCCCAGTATATGGGACAGTCCCAAACATGGTCATTTGATCTAAAATGTCTCTAGTGCTGTTTGACAAACCCTACTCTAAAGTAGTCCAGCAGGCTTAGGAGCTTCTGGCTAAAATCTTATCCACCAAGGGTAGTGACCTGCTTCTGGATCCAAATGGTGGGAATATTATTATTTAGGAGCCTCTGAAATTCTGCACAAGTTCTTAGAAACTTGGACTTGATTATATTATGCCTTCATGTTAGAGAAGAACATAACTTTGCCCTGACTAATGTCAGAAGGGAGCTTAAGAGTCCTTAAGGTAAGCCCCAAGTCTCCTGACAAAGAAAAGAGCTCTAAAGATCATCTCAAAAGGAAATAGTAGTTGCTGTTACATTGAAGAGGCAATGGCTAGAGCCCAAAGATAAACAAAAAGATACTAAATGGATCTTAGAGTCAGAGTAGAGCTCAGACAAGAATCAACCAGCTACCATCACCAAACCACCAAGTTTGGCCTTTACATGAGATTTCACACTGGTCTCCCTCCCTAGTAACAGTGGACACATTTTTTCACTAATCCTTCAGCATCAGAGTTTGAAGCAGTTTATCTTCCTTTCAGGCCATCTGAAAAAGATGAAATACACAAAGTGAAAATGCCCAGTAGAAATAAATTTGTTCTTTTATTAGCATTTATTGGTGCAAAAATTAAGTTTCTGTCAGCCAAGTTTGACTGGCATTTGGAAATGAGGAATCGGCTGGAATTAGGAGCTGAGCTCCCTAGCAGCCTGAATTTTCTTAATATTTCCCCTGAATATAGGTTCTGTTTTCCTTAAAGGAGACAGCCATTGCCATGTCTGTGCTGAGGGAGGGAACTTCTTGTACCTTGCCATTTCCCCTCTTCAGTGTTCTCCCCTAGAAGAGGACCGGGGATTCCTTGTAATCAGGTGAACTTGACTCCCCTGACAGACTTCTCAGGGAAAAACTTGCTTAAAATGAGAAACAAACTAGTTATTAGAGGGAATCAAGGATTGTAGTAAATAAAGTATGCTGTTTCATTTTCAGTGTGTAAATGAAGGATTACATTCCTAGGAGTGAGAAGGTACTGTTTTAGTAAACAAGAAAGCCTGAGCCTCAGAAGCCTAGACTGTGCTGGGGGAGAGGGGAAAATGGGAGTCAGCAGAAGCCCAAGGGTCCTACCTGTGGAGGACCTTGGATTCCTCCTCCTCGTTAAACACCTCCAAAGTGGGAAGGATGGGAAATCACATGGTTGCTGTGCTAGAGTGCTTGGAAGTCTCTTTTGAGAATATTATCTCTTTCTTCTCAAACCTGACAATGATTTTTTTTCTTTCTCCTCAGGCTGACCAGAGGCAGGTTATTCCCATACCAAGTGTATGTATATATCCCATTTTTATTGAAATACTCATAGAATCTTGTGGCTTTGGGCCTAGTAATATAAAAAAGATTTTTTAAAAAACTGTTCTTGCTTATGTTGAATTTTATCATGTGGTATTAGCAGCTCTGTTCTGTTAAGAAGAAAAGTGAAGCTACACTTTAAACTGTGAGCAGGAAGTTGTGTACAGAGACAGTTTCCTTTCTTAGGAACAGCAGGCAGTGCATCTACTAGCCATTCTTACCTTCCTTTCTGTCTGGCTGAAGCATCCAGGTCCTAATAAGCTGAGGTAACCTGGAGCCTCCCTGTCCCACCTTATCATAGCCCCAACTCTGTACATTGGGAGAACTACGTAGATTTCCCAGATCATGGTTCATAGCAGTAGTGTCAGTCACCGTGGATTAAACTCAGGTCCCAGCCAACCATACACCACCTGTTTAATGGTATCGGTAGCTTGGTTGTAGCTCTCACATCAGAGAAATTACTCTTACGTAGACTCCCTGATTTTGTAGAACCATCATCACTCCATAAGCCAACTTTCTGCAGCTGTCTCAACTAAGCACTCCCTAGACCACCCCACTTCTGTTTTCAGCTTTGTAATTTCAGAGAGAAGCTGAACCAATGTTCTTAGTGATCCGCTGTCCACTGTCACCATTGTTTCTTTTTACTTTCCTCATAGCTGGAATAAAATACCTGACAATTGCAATAAAGTTTATTTTGGCTCACATATCAAGCCCTAGTCCATTGGCTTTGGAGCAGAACTAGCAGAGGGGCATAGTGGAGAGGAAGCAGAGGGAGTGAAGGGAGGAGCCAGGGAAGGAAGTAAACCCTTCTAGGCCATGCCCCTATAATCCAGTCACCTTCCAAAACCCCTGCCCCCAAGTACATGAGGCTCTTGAGGATATTTAGATACAAACCATAACACTTTTTCTTCCCTCTGCTCAGCCAGCAGAGCTATTGAGCTTGAGGCTATGCAGCCAGCAACAGCTGGAGACTGAGTCCCAAAGGAACTAACAGTGGAAATGTCCATCAAACAAGACCTTTCAGACAGTCCTATGTCCTTGGAAAGGAGTTAGGTTTCCAAATAGGTCCATAAATTGACATTTTAGTCTATAAAGTTATCTGATTTGGATTGCCTAATTCAAATTTGATCATTTTTCTTTCTTAGGACTCTTGAACATCCAAGAGACACAGCAATCTTACATTGAAAGGAATAGAGTTCGGTAGTACCTTTATATGAGATTCCTCCTTTTTTTGAGACTAACTCAAAAAAGTTTTGAGAATTTTATTTTTCTCAAAACTAACTCTTACTGACTTGTAGGTTATTGAGCTTGTGTAGTGATCCTGTCAGCATGTCTGGGACTGAGCTGTGTTGGGAGAACTGGTTTTGATCAAAAAGAAGGATCAAGTGGTGCAAAGTGTCTTATCCAGGGTTTCAGGGAGGCATCCATTGGGGCTCACACTAGAGGACTTTCATTCACTTCGCTACAAAGCAGTTTCTTTTTTTTCCCCCATTAAGTTTATTGATATATTGAAAGCAAACAATCAGTTACATTTATCATTGGGATCTTGTACCTTTACATGATATGTCTTGGCTCATATTTTTTCCCCATACCCCTGCCCTCCCTTCGTGCCCTTCACCTTTTCCTATTTACAAAGACTTTGTTTCCATTTTTTACTTTTTTCACATTTTTTCTTTTCCCTTATTTCCTTTCCCCTCCCCTTCCCACTTCCCCTTTAGCCATTTTCTTCTTATTTCACACTATCAATTATACCATATGAGGCTTATTTACACTTTTAGTTTTTCGCACAAGAGAAACTATTTGGTATTTACTCAAGTGTGTCCTATCAAAACAGTTTCATGTACAGAATTTGCCCCCCAAAAAAGAATGTATACACAGCTCAGAAAAAGGAAAACTTGTATAAATATGTTAATACGAAATTTATTGAAACATCATGAGATTAATTGGCCTCTGCAATTATAAGAGATGCTCAATGTGGTGGCCATTAGCTGCCAGACATTTATTACTACACCCAACTGCTGCTTGAGTAAGCTTGGTCATTCAGATTGCTGCACATGCATTTTCAATTTCTTCTCTAAGGGCAACAATGTAGTGGGTTTTCTACAATACACGGCATCCTCTAGGGTCCCCACATATAAGGGTAATACCAACTGTTGAAAAAACGATTTTTCTTTTCTTGAAGTGTGTATACATTTGTTTTTGGCAGGCTCTGTATTTTTTCTACCAAGCTACTGTGCATTAAACAGGTTATAGGTAATATCTCCCCTACTCTTACCCTTCTTCTTCCATACCACTGCCATTGTCTTTTCTCAGAGTTAATTCACAGTCATCCAGAAAGATAAGTGCCTAATGAAAGTGTTTGCCATCCAGTATAAACCCACTGAGGAAATGGACCCTTTTTCTACAGATTGAGACCCAGCTATAAATAGAATTCCAGAATAACGTAGATAAGGAGAAGGTTCATTGCATAATATTTATGTTAGATTAATGAACTGCTGCCTCCTACACGTGAGACACTGGATTAGGCCATATGAATCTTTGAACTGTCTACAAAAACACAGAACCTTACCAAAGTAACTTTCATTTCTTAATGATAACCTGCAGAAAAGCAGTCCTGCTGATGGGCATACTATAATCTGCACTGCCTGCTTTGCATGCAGAGCTGAACTCGAGTCCATTTGGGCCAGCTCAGTCCTGGAATTCAAGTCTTGAGATCCCTGAAAGATTTGTACCTACCTGCCAAGGCTGCATGTCACATAAGCAGAGTGGTCCTGACCTTGGACCAGAGGAGGATCTGGTCAGTGCTGGGAGCACTTGATAGCTTGGGGTTCTATATTTATTATAAGACCAGAATCTTTGCTGGTGCTGAACCTCCAAACCAGGTCCTCCAGCCTTATTCACACCTTGAATGTCTTGTCCAGGCCCTGAAGATGAAGGATGCCTCTGAACTCTGGATACCCAGATCAGCTCCAACCAAAGTCCTCCCTCTCTGCTTCTCATTTCACCTCCCCCTCATGCTATTCTGTATATGTATAGGTTTAATCTTTAAACTCTTTATTAAATAATTCAAGCTTATGGTTAATTCTTAAATGCTAAAATATTAAAGTATGAAGAAAAAAATCCTCCAACTTATTCTCATTACTAGAATAACTACTCTTAATGTATTATGTCTTTCCAGAAAAATTTCAGACACAAGCATATTTACACACATGAGAATGTGTTGTACTTCCATTCTTCAAATTGCTTGTTGGTTTTAACAAGATAGCTTCAATGTCTTTCCAAATATTACTACATATGTATCTACTTCGTTGTTTTACATGCCATTGACAGCATTTACTTCATTTATACTTCTGTGTTGTTACAAAATACTGCTCTTACAAATATTGTTATGTGTATATGGAGTTGTGTGATAGCTTTGTATGATCAGATCCTAATTGTAGGGCTAAGGATTTAGCTCAGTGGTGCCACCGCCTGCCTTGCAAGCGCAAGGTCCTGAGTTCAATCCTGAGTACCGCAAAAAAAAAAAAAAAAAAAGAAGTGCAGATCTAATTGTAGAAACTCTAGGTCAAGGGATCTATTCTACATTGTTGGTACAGCAAAGCCAAATTTTCCTCCAAAAGCCTATGCTAAAAATACATTCCCATGCAAAGCCTACAAGATTGCCCCATTCTCTCACTGGAAATATTTGTCAAATATTTTATTTAACCTATGCCATCCAAAAGTAAAGAATGGGTCTCAATGTGTAGAAAAAGGGTCCATTTCCTCAGTGGGTTTATACTGGATGGCAAACACTTTCATTAGGCACTTATCTTTCTGGATGGCTGTGAATTAACTCTGAGAAAAGACAATGGCAGTGGTATTTGAATTGCATTTCTTCATGAATATCAATAGCTATTAACAAATTTATTGACCACACCTTTTTTTCTGCCCTCTTCACTGAAATTTTATACTGTGTTCATCTTTTTTTTTTTTTTTTTTTTGAGAGTCTTGCTCTGCTCTGTAATTCAGGCTGGCCTTGAACTTACTATGTAGCCCAGGCTGGTCTTGAACTCACAGCAATCCTCCTCCTGCTTCAACCTCCCAGGTGCTGGGATTCATCTTTTTAAATGTTTAAATTAGTGCTTTCACCCCAATTTATGATAACATCTTTTCACCTTGGTTATAATCACTTTGGCCGCAAAAAGAAATTTTAATTTTATGTAAGCAAATATATTAATTTCATGCTTCATGGCTCTTAGATTCTATGTTTAGAAAGATCTCCCCACTCTACATTCCATATTTTCTTCTGATATTTTGATTTTGTTTTTCATCATTATGTATAAATCTTTGATCTGGGAATTTGGTTGATGGAAGGCGTGAGGTGGCTGTCCAGCAAGCCATGGTCCTTTCTCCCCTCACCTGCCATAGATTTCTGCTCACATACTTCCTATAATGTTCCCTGTGTGCATTGGAGCAAGTGACTTTACATTTTTAAAAGACCCGTCTAGATCATAATAATGTTTCTCTTGTACTTGAGCTTTAATGGTAGACTCAGAGAAAATTTGGTTGAGTACATCTTTGAATTAATGATTCAAGCTTCACCAGATTAGATCAACTAAAATAATAAGGCACTATTTGCAATTTTATATCATCCTTATGTTTCCCAAGACATGGCTGTCTAACAGAATTTTTGCCACTTAGACTAATTTGCATTAATCTAAAGCCAGGCTGTCAGAGAAGGTGTGTGCATTTGAGAAATGGATAGAGAATTAATAGACTATTCCTTGCCCATTGCCCTCCAGCTTGGTCCTGTTCTCTGTAGCACAAATACAAAATCAGTAAATTGCCTAGTAGAATTCTTACCCTTCCCAGTCTGCCTTCTCTTCAATAGTACATAAAAATATTTTTTTCCTTTTAAATAAAAGAATGTAAAGTGTGGTTTAAATATGCTAAGAAAGTAATTTTTATTCTAGGGCTTGAAAAATAATTGAGCCACTTTTGGCAGGTTTTTGATGTTTTCAGTTATGCTGTGGGGATAAAATTTCTAGGCTGGCAATTAAATTCCTAAATTAAAATGTTTCAGTAGTACATAAACAAAGGGAGAGAATTGGATAGGTATAACTAGACTAAAAAGAAAGGACATAGAGAAGGAAATAATTGTGTTTTTCTCTTGGCTGTCTATATTATTCACCATGAAAAACTGTTTTTCTTACATAATTGTTTAATAAAACTTTAAAAATTTATTCTGGTCACATATATGCCTTCTGCTTTGGCCTGAAGAACAGAAATAGCCCCAGTCTCTGTTATATTCATTTATAGAGCTGATTACCCCTGCCTTTTTAAATACTTTTGATATAAAACTTCTTTGCTAGTTATTAATGATTCACTAATTATTAATGAAGGAGAGACTCTTTTCTGGGTCTCCATATTGTGTTCTAGTCTCCAAGGCACATGCCACCTCCCTTGCCAGTGCCTACAAGGTCAGGGAGGACTGCTTGGCTTTAGTTAGCATTAGGGAGTTGGAGGCCTTTAGGGTTTTCTCTTCTGGATAATGTTAGAAAAGAATGAAGCACACACTCTTTCTAGCGAAAGACCCTCTAGAGTTTGAGTGTTGTGCCTCACATGTAGCCTCTTCCTGGACAGCCCCTCTCTGCCCATTGCTCTTGCAAATTTGCCTAACCTGTCTACTGCCTGTTTAAATTCACTATTGAACAAGCTAAAGTCCAAAATTAACCTTTGATCATTGACTAGTATTCAGTTTAAAGAAAAAAATAAATAAAAAGAGGAACCTGACACTTGAAGAATACTTTTTGATTTAATGTTTGTCTTGTTTCACTTGATAAACTAAATTGTCTATTCTTTAGTGGCCAGAGACATTTTCTGTGTTTTGTTTTGTGTCAAATATTAAACAGAGTTTGACCTTCCTGGATAGAAAATTAACTGTTAACACTCAATATGTCACAGAATAAACTTAAATACTTCAAATCATTTCTGGAACGAGGCAAAGCCCATAGAAATAAATACTCTAAAACTGAATGGGGCTGGCTGAAAAAGCATAGCATTTTATTAAATCTTTATGGCTTTTCTATCACAAAATCAGAGGCAATTACTCCAAAAACATAATTGGATTCTCTGGTTAATACACAGTATGTGGATTAAAATTTAACCTTCAGAGAACCAGAATCCAGAGAGTAAAAATGTCCATTCATTTAGTATTAGATCACAATAGGGCAGGCACAAGGCCAGCACTGTACTTCAACCAGTTTTAATTCTGTTTTCTTGGCTTGAAGGTAACTTTTGGGTTGGATTTTGTTGGTGGGGCTATAGTTTCTCTACAAATGTTTGAAAATGCCAATTATGAAGAAAATAAATACATGGCTCTAAAATATATTTACATGCCACAGTAAATTTTAGATAAAATATGACCCCAGGAAATGAGCCTACATAGTCAGAGTAGCTATTAAACACTTATTCTTGTATAGTCCTATTTAATAATAAAAACTGACACTCTGTATGTACCAGGCTCAATGCTGAGTGTTTACTGCCATTATAACAACTTTTCATGATAGGTGTTATTATCCAGGTTTATGACCAAGAATACCAGAGTCAATACTGAAATTCAGTTTTGTCTGGTACAAAATGTTCACAGCAGTAAATCTCCTCTAATGGTTTGGTAAAACTTCATTTGCCAGCTAGATATTACTGTTGTTCTTAACAAAAATTATATGATACGCTTTATCAGTTATTTAAATGTTTGCTTTTGCACCCTCATTAACATAATATAATACAATGATAAGGGAATTGGTTTGTCTCTTACATAGAAGTAATAATATTTTTTCCCCTCTTTAGTCACCAGCTAAATACCTCCTTCCAGAGGTGACGGTGCTTGACTATGGAAAGAAATGTGTGGTCATTGATTTGGATGAAACACTGGTGCACAGTTCATTTAAGGTAAATCAACATAAAAAGCACTGTGGTCTTTGTGATTTGATAACAATTGTATTGAAAAGAAAAAATAAAAAGAATTAAATCTCAGCTGGATGTGGTGGTAGATGCTTGTAATCCCAGCATTTGGGAGGCTGAAGCAGGAGTATCACCTTGAATTTGAGGACAGCCTGCGCTATCTACTGAGTTCAAGGCCAGCCTGAACTACATAGCACAACTCTGTCTCAAAAAAAATAAATAAAATTTTTAAAATGACGTCTCATGGTTGTTAGTATATGACTTCACTCTTCACAAAGAAATAATAATAATAGCTGCTTATGAACCCAGATGAATATTAACTAAAGTAGTTAAATATTAACATTTTAGTTTGGAAAAGAAAATGCTGGGGCACCAATATCACTTAGACTTTGTTTTACTTACAAGGTTTGAGTTTTCCACACCAAACCTTCTAGAAATACTTTTCAGGTACACAAATAATCATTGTGTCCATGTCCCAGGACATATTTGTCAAGATAAACAGAGTACCTTGAATTTTATTGGGAGTGACAGAGAAAGCACATTTGGAAATTGTTAGGCTCCTTACTGTGCCAAATATGTTTCCAGGTCAGTTTTTAAATATGTGCAATTTTGAAGACGTCTCCTAGAGTTGGTTACATCTGAACAGATTGAGTCATTTATTCTGATCATTTTCTTGACAAGACATCGCTGGGGGACTTTATATGCTTCACAGCTAAGTGAGTGCCCACTTTCATGCTTTGCTTCATGAAGGGTGCAAAGCTGCAGCAGTGTCATGTGACCATCAGTCTTTCTTGTCTCCTACTGTCCATCTTCGCAGTAAAAATGACATTCCTCCATGCAGGAACAGCAGTGGCTACCCTCCTAAGAAATGAGATGATCATCTTAAAATATGGAATCGTTTAAAACAAGCAAATGATGAAAAAGTTTGGAATCAGGTATTGCTGTGTTGAGGAGAAGCAGCACATGTTTAAGACCCTGATCCTATTTTCCTTGGGTTAGTTTTACCGATAGAATTGCTGTACTATTGCTGGCCAGTTACACCGTGTTCCTCTTCTATCCCCAGCCTGGGATTCCCCTACTTTTCTGAGAGACATGAAAGGCACCATCTGTGATGGGCTGTTGTTTCATATGAACCCTTGTCATTCCTGGCAGGTTGTATGACAAGCAGAAGAGCCATCAAATTTGCCTGAACACCTTCCTGCCAGAAACATCCTTCTTTGTGCCTACTTCTCACTGAACAGAGACCTTCTTTGACAGGACAAGGCCAGGAGGTTGTCTTTGAGTCCTTTGGAAAATGAAGGAGGAATAACACTGACCACTGGCAGTGAGACATGGCCACATTCTGGCCCTGGGGCATACAGGGACCTCTTCATTCCCCAGCACTCCATGGGTTGAGTCCTTCCAGTGTTGGACCTGGGGCCACAGTGGCCTTGTGTCAACTCATCTCTGGAAAGCATTGGAAGCATTTTCTTCCTCATGGGCAAGTTTCTTGGGATTTTTTTCTAGTCCTTCTGGGGCAAAACCACTCAAAGCAAGAATCAGTTGCTTTTGCACTATAGAAAGCATCCTCCCAAATAGCTCTGGGAGGGTGGGTAATGCTGGCCAGACTGCCTGAACTTACTGAGGGTTCCTGGCTCCACAGGCTGAGCTTTGGCAGCTGCTGTGTCTCCAGAGCCTGCTCAAAGAGCATCAGTGCCACAGCTGTAAACACTGTTTCCTCATTTCTTCCCTTCCCTGCCTTGCCTACATTTGCAAGCAGAAAATTCTCTAGTGTGTGATATTTAATGTTCTGGGCATTTCAAAACCTTTTGAGAATATGAAAACTGTGAACTCCTCCCCTTGAACATGTACAGCTGTATGAAAAACAGGCTTATGGACCCCAGGTTAAGAACCCTTCCTTCAGCATGCCCTCCTTTACAGCAGCATGTGAGAATAGTGTTTGCTGGAAACGGGAATGGTTACATACTTTGTAGAATATTATTTTGTAATTCAGTGCCCTGTGAGAGTTTCTTCCTTCAGTCTTTTTTTTTTGTTTGTTTAACCTGATTCTGTAATTCAATTATAAAATTATAAAATATTGAGCCCATCCTTGGCCTTCCAACCCTGAGAAAATTATAACCTTAAACCTCTGTAGCACTCTTACAGATTGTTTAACACCCAGGCACTTTCCACATTTTTTGAATTTACATATCAAAGATGAATGCTTGTATGTAGAGTGATGGACTTAAAGGCAGAGATCCCAGTTCAGAGTCTTACCAGACTCCTTACCCCACAAGTATCTATCTGGTCAGACTCACACACACACACACCCCTTCCCCTTTCCTCTGTCTCTCATCTTGTCCCAAAGGTTTGTAGCTGATTATTTTGTTGGGCCTGTTTAGTGATTTTCTACTAATTTTTGGAATTCCATTTAGATAGAACTCAATGTAAAGTCTATCACTGAAACTATGGTGAACGTGAAGAGTCATTTGATTTTTAAATGTTACTAGTGTTATACAAGGGTTATTTTCAGGCCAGGGATTTAGCTCAGTGGTTCCACCACCTTCTTAGCAAGCGCAAGGACTGATCCCCGTTACCAAAAAAAAAGTTATTTTCAGCATCTGAAAGTTTCTGGATGTACTGGGTTTTGTGTTCTTTAAAGCAGAGAAATTGACAGGGACTGGTGCTCCTTCCCTACCCCAACCTCAGGGCAGGAGTAGATGATACATGGCTATCAGGGCCTAAGATCACTGATTTTCAGAACTGGATGGAGCCTTGGGCACTCATCAGACCCATTACTATAACTGTTGAAGAGAGGAGATACTGAAGACTAGAGAGAGGCAGAGCCTGGCCCAGGTGGAACCCTGTGCCTCCACCTTCACCTCATGCTTACTTGACTCTGCTGTGGGTACATGAGCAGGTACCTTCTGCATAGCCACCCACACTGGGGTCCATATCCAGATTGTCTTCCCAGTAGAAGTGGCTCCTGGCCATCAGGCTCTCACCTCCCCTTGGTGGTCCAGAAGTGGTTCTCATCCTGTCAGGGCTCTGGGCAAGGGTTAGAGTTTCTGAGGAACTTCATTCTATCCCAGACTATGCCACTTATTGTGGTTGAGGCCAGGCAGGTGATCAAGAGGTTGGATCAGAATGCTGGAAACATCACAACATTCAGAAAAGAAAAGAATGTACTTTGCTGCTTGTGCTTACTTCAAGGAACCCAGGCATACTTCAACCATCCTTCTGAACAGTTTTTCAAATTATCAAAACATTGGTCCAGGCAAGCTTTTTTCTTGCTAAAATTTTCCACTTTATCTTGTTCTTTCAGATGTATTAATTGTAGTTTCTTTTCTCTTTAGCCTATTAGTAATGCTGATTTTATTGTTCCGGTCGAAATCGATGGAACTATACATCAGGTAAGAAATCAAAGCTAAATTTGAGTTACAGTGAGCATTTTTAGTAATTACATTTCCTGTGAACTTCACTTCTGAATTCCCATTTCAATAATAATTTTATTCAATGTAAAGGAAGCGGACTGTGCATAATAAATACAATGATTTTTTTCTTTTTCCCTCATTTCACTTGGATTTGTTTTATACTGAGTTTATAAGTAAAATTATGTCTTCATAAATATTAGATGTGGTTGCAAGTTCATATAGTTCTTTGATTTGATGCATTCTTTCAGAAGTTTCTGTATTCCCGACTGATTTAGCTTGATGGTCTAATTAACTTCCTCATGTTACTGCTTTTGGGTATTCTCCTAGCAGGCAACAGGAAAATGACACAAGCAGGAATATGCTACAAGTCCCTCTCTTATGGTGGATTCTTGGGGAAAGGTGTCCATTTCCAGTGCCAACTGATACAGACCGATCTTAGCATTACTGCAGTTTTCTCCAGCGAATCTTTAGCAAATACTTAACACCAAAGGAAAAAGGGGAGAAGTATGAGCTTTTAGATCAGCAAACTACTGTGAATAAATATGCCAAAGTCAACTGTCATGCATCATCTTTGTTCTTTCTGATTTTTCCCTTATCTGCATGAAGCTCTTCCGTAAATAGCTATATTTATGAACATATTGGAAACATTGTAGGAAAATTGGCCTTGGAGACTGGGGAGTAGCTTTTGTCAGGTTTTATACAGGGATGATCTCACTGTTTTCTTGTCAACTCCAGGGTCTTAAAGGGAAAGTATCTGGCCTCATATCCCAAGAAAGAAAATCTCTCTTGATATTTGGGCCATAGTAAGACATCTTTCCTGAATAATGTCAGTAGTCTTTGGCTCTCAAGTCCAGGCTTTAGAACTGTCTCAGCTTTGGACATCAGATGGTCTAGTTATCTCATTGCCCAGATAAGGAAACTGAAGCTCCTCGAGATAAAGGGTTGGTTCAAGGTCATACAATGGGAAGAATTAAAATGAGAATTCCAGTCTCCTGCCTTCTGGCCCAGGACTCTTTTCCTGATACTTGGGTCCTCTGCCTCTCCCCCACCCACACCTTGCTTTCTGCCCTGTTCTCCAGGAATCCTGCCAGAAAGCAGTCCCTGAGAAAAACAGCTTAATCCATATCATCTCCACACTCATCCTTTTAAAAGCCATCATGGAGCCAAAACTGCAAATACCTGAGCATTTAGCATTTGCAAAAGTATCAGCTGAATTAAGTCAGCATCTGAGAAGTAGTTAAGACTTCCGCATTTATTACCTTGGCTCCTGTTGCAGAGTGCTTTTGAGGAGACAAAGGAGAGCTGCCCAGTGGCAAGGCAAGCATTAAGAAAGAAATTAATCCTTCCTACCATGTAGCTGTGAGGCATGACTAGCCTGTAGGAGCCACCCAGCCTCCCTCTGGCTGTGCTTTGATTCACTTGGTAATGGACACCTCAGGGTCCCAGGGCTGGGGTGGAAACCCTCTTGAGGGAAGGAAGCCACAGGCGCCAAGAGCAGGAGGACCAAGGCCCTGGCGAAGGCCGTGGCCTTGTTCAAGTAATCCAGGATAGGCTGTGTAGGTCCCAATGGGCCTATTCTTGGTTACTTGCACAGGGACGCGGGCCTGGACCCTCCTCTCTGCCAGAGGCACCAACGCCAGAATTCCCAAATCAGTCTCTTGTCCTTTGCATGTAGCAAAGCTTGCTTTCCAAATAATACTCCTGGGAACACAGAAGCACAGGCTGCACCCATTTACTGACACCAGCGTCAAGAAGTTTCATGGACAAAGTAGGAGCCAAGAGCCCCTGTAGCCACAAGCCCTGCCTCCACCTCTCACCCCAACCTCCCAGCTCCTCACAACTATATTGACACCCATTCTAGGCCATCCCATTCCCCTGGCCCCCTCCCTCCACAGACCCACACCCACTTCACTCTGGGCTAGTCATACGTTTCCCACCAGTCTTGATCCTTCTAGTGCCTATTTCTGGTGTGTTGAAATTAGTACCATGTAGAATACCTCTGCCAGCAGCCTGTCCTTCCATGTGGTGCAGACCCTCCCATAGCTCCCCTCTACTACTTCTGCAGTTTATCCTACCTGCTCCATCTGCCACTTGAGGCCCAGTGTGTGTTCACTGCAATGTGCCCATCCATCTTTAGCCACTTCTTCTCACAACCACCCCCTCCCCATCTTCTTTGAATCCCTTGGGTAGCTGGACTCTGGCCATTTTATAACATGTCAGGTATTTTTAAGCCTCCAGTTCTCAAACTGGTACTTTCCTTTGGGTCCTCTCTTCATCCTTACTAACCTGATGAAATCCTATTCATCCTTTGAGGTCCAGGCCAAATGTTCACTTCTGTGATTTCCTCCCCTTGAAAGGGGAGTTAATTATCTTCAGTTTATCCTCATACTATTTTCATTATGCTGTCTTTACTTTTACACATTTTTGTGTGTCTGCTCTAGACTGAGTCCTTTATGGGCATGGCCCATGTTTGACTCATCTGTGTAACTCCATCAGGTTGAGCATGGAGCTATAACTCAGTAAATAATGTTGAATTCAATTTTAAAGTGATTTATTTTTGTGAAGTGACTTACTTCAGATGGAATTTATTCAGGTTTTAATTGGTTCTTCCTTCCTCCCATTTCCTCTGTTCTCTCATCAGCTTTGCTTTCTCTCCTATCTCCCAGTCTCCTCAGATTCCTTCAGGCTCCATAGTCAGGAACTCATGTGTGCGCTAAAGCCTGGATGCTTTATAGCCCTACCTGCTTTACCTGGCCTGGTCAAAAAGGTACACAGTCTACCCATTCCAAAAAAGGCACTCTATCCCTCTATGCTCACAGGCCCCTCATGATGGCTTGTTTCTAGGTGCCAGGAGGAAGTTGGCTTCACATCCCCTGAAATGTCCATACATAGCCCTAGTAGAGTAACCTTCATGGTGTCACGTAGGTGTCTTCCCCAACTAACAGACAAGAGCTTTTGTAGCTTTGCAGCGCCTTTGCTTTTTTAATCCCAGGCCTCTAGTGAATAGGAAGTACCATTCAGAGTAGAAGGTGGCAGTTGGAGCATCCCAGACCTCCTGGGAAGTCAGCCAGGGCCAGACCTCCGAAAGAACAGCGCCCAAACCATAGCCTGTGTTTATACAGGACCTGACCCACAGCAGGTGCCAGGAAATACATCATATAAACATGGCACAACCATTCTACTCACTGACTCTTAAAATTCCCAAGACCTTCAATACCACAGTCAGTTTCTCTTCTTTGGGAGGGTCATCTGCCCTAGAGTCAGACCTATAGTGTGAGTGCATCTGACTTTGCAGTCTGGGCCTCTGAATGGCACAGACAGACCTGGCAGCAGGAGGAAGAGACCTGTGTGACAATTCCTAGAGTGATCACTTGGACTTAGGCATCCCAGAAACTGCAGTGCTTGTTACAACTGACCAGCTTGTTGTTTCTGCCATTTGCAGGTGTATGTGCTGAAGCGGCCACATGTGGATGAATTTCTCCAAAGGATGGGACAGCTCTTCGAGTGTGTGCTCTTTACTGCCAGCTTGGCTAAGGTGTGTCCGGCTCCTGCTGCAGACTCGCAGCCTTCTACTGCTACCCCCAATCTGTCAAGAGCCCTTTGTTAAGGTGGGAGAAGCTATTTTTATGGTGACAGGTTCCCACCCCAGATGGGATGGATGCAGGCCATGTGCACACTGCCAGTCTGAAAGGCTTCTGGTTACCATGGTGACAGGGATCACTTGGAACAAATGTTCCATGAAGTTGCTGTACAAGAGGCTTTTGAAGTTAGTTGTCCACAGACAAGGAAATCACAAAAAGTCCCGTGTGTCCACAAAAGGATGACTGCATACCATAGACACACAGAGCCCCTCTTATCCAATGATGGGCAGCCAAATGTTGGAGGCTCCTGTGTCTTCGGGTTTAGTTTACACAGGTGGGCAGGAAGAACAAGTGAGAGATGTGTCAATAGACTCTCACAGTCATAGGCTGAAGAGGGTGCTGACTCCACCCTAAATTGCTGTACAATCTCAGATAAGTCACTTCTGGCTCGTCAGTTTCTTCTTTAAGTGGGGGTAATTCCAGCTCCTCATGTAGTTGGATTAAATGAAATAGCACATGGAAAAGACTTAACACCTCAGTCTTACTCAGCAAATACTCAGCGAGCTGTGTGCCGTGTACCATTGCTGGGCATTGTCACAGAATAGAGTGCACCTAAAATTCAGTATTTAGTATCATAAACATTAGTGATAATAAAATAGTTCAGATATACTTTGGTCTTATATCTTAGTATGAATCTCTGTCCCATAGTCTACATTGACTCTGGCCCAATAGAGTGGGTTTTTGTCCTCTCCAACTAAGGAAACTGGCATGTTCCCAGGGCTCTTGAGAGTTTAATCTTCCCCTTCATGGTTATAATGAGGTGCTGTGCTGTATTTAGGATAGGTAAAGGGGGTACTTGCTCCCCCTCTAAGGCTATTGCTATGGCCACCTTTAAAACCCTGGCTTCTTGTGTGTGGCACCACCATTGTCTCCCTGGGCTCCTCTTGAATGGCCCCCAAAATGAATTTTATGGGACCTAGGTTATCTTTTTTCTTGTGTTAGACCTGCTGCAAGGAATCACGCAGTAGCTTCTTCTGTGTGTATTGGGGCTTCTGACTCAGGTCCTGGGTATGCTTCTTTGCTGGCTGGGCATTCCATGCTAGATCCGTATCTATGTTGGCTGAGGTGAGAAACAGCCCACCTGTACAGCATCGGTACAAAGACAAAATTATATCTGCAGCTTTGATGGCTCTTCTTATAGTGCTCTGGGACACTGAAGAACCTGAAGTAATAACCAAAGAAATAACCAACAGGAAGATGGCACCAATGTAGTGCATGAAAGTTGTTTTTGATTTGGCAAAATTGAAAACACGTTTCCTTGGCATCATTCCCAGTATTCATGTAACATCTTTGCTGGGTTTCTCTTCCTGGACTGTTCCTACCTCCCTCTCCATCTGTCTCTCCAACTTGCTTCTTACTGTTATTCCATCCTGGCTGAGCCAAGTCAGATCCAAAACACAGCCTCTCAGCCCCATTCCTCCCTGAGGCCATGTTCTGCTGATAGGTGGTCACTCCTGCTCTGGGATCTCTGTTCTGGGATCTCTGTTCAGCTCCGTTCTCTGCCAGCAACACTGGTGCAGTGGGCTTCCTTGCCTTCTACCCAGGAAACTCAAACTGTATAGGAACCCCACACTGACATTCACAGCCCTTCAGTATCTGCTTCCTTGTCATGTCTTATCACCCACCCCCGCAGATATTTACTTAATACCTACTGTTTCAGGATGGTACTAAACATTAGGAATTCAGCAGGAGACAAAAGAGTCCCTTCCCTCACAAGGCCCATATTGTCACATCATCTTTTTGGCTGGAGTACCCAAACTCAGGTACTTCCCTGAAAATGAGTGTTGCCAGCAACAGTGTCAATGATTATGAGGAAATTAGCCATCTTTTCTTATCCACAGTGAGCCTCCTATAAGCCACCCATATGGCCCTTGGCAAGTCTCACAGAATAGTGACCAAATATTCTCCCTACTTGGTTAGTAGGAGGTACAGCTGCTGTAAGACTCTGCCTCCCCAAGATGCCTTTGAAGAGGAAAGGACTTTCCCATGGACTCAGCTGCTGGCCTTCCCATTACTGCACAAGTGTTCTCCACCTCCCTGACAGAATCTTGGCCTCTCATGATTCCTTGGGTTTGCAAGGTTTGCAATTCCTGCTGAATTCCTAATATTTATACCATCCTGAAACAGTAGGTATTAAGTAAATATGTGCAGGGGTGGGGGGTGATAAGACATGGCAGTGAGAAAAGTGCCTTATTCCAAGGGCAGTAGATAGGCACAGTAAAGACTTTTAAGCAAGAAAGTGACATGATGGGACATGTATTTTCCATTGGCCACTCTGACAGCTTTGAGGTAAAGACACTGAGAAGGAGGCCCAGCAGGAAAAGGGAACCTCTCAGGCTAGAGACTGGAGGTCTGGCCTAGTATAGAGTATTAGAGCTAGATAGATACAGGTGGAGTCTGGATATTTTTGGAGGTGAAACTGACAAAAATTTCAGATGAATTAGATGTTAGAAAAATGGAAGAATCAAGTGCTCCCTTGTATACATGAAATACAACCAGGACCCTAAAACACTTGTAGTTATTTAAATCCCTTTTTAAAAAACATGTCTGGCTCTTGCTACAGTAGGCCTGACCTTCATTGTGTCACCTTCTGTCCAGTATGCAGACCCTGTGGCTGACCTCCTGGACCGCTGGGGTGTGTTCCGGGCCCGACTCTTCAGAGAATCCTGTGTTTTCCATCGAGGGAACTATGTCAAGGACCTGAGTCGCTTGGGACGGGAGCTGAGCAAAGTGATCATTGTTGACAATTCTCCTGCCTCGTACATCTTCCATCCTGAGAATGCAGTAAGTAGTCCCAAAGAAAGAGATGACAGGGCTCTATCTGAGCTCTGTCTTGCCATCCAGCCACCACCTTGTGTACCTACATGAAAATGTCTGAGTCTTTTCCTGGTACAATTCAAACTAGGCCATGTAGCAGCTGCATGACACCAGCCAAGTTAATTAACTTCACTGGACCTCAGTTACCTCATCTGCCAAGTAGGAACTCTAGATTGTTAGAGGATTCAGTATGGCAATAGGTAAAAAGCACTTAGAACAGTGCTTGGGGCTGGTAAATACTCAATAAGCACATGTCTTCTTATTAACACTTTTGGTATTGTTGTTGTAAAGGTTCGTTTTGCTATTAACTCCTTAGAGCTAGTTGCTGCCCAGGGCTTCATTATCCCTATTGACTCAGGAGGTGTAGGTGATCCCTTCAATAAAAATATTCTTAAACAAGAATGAATAAAACACTTCAGTAAGGTCTTCGATAACACTGTTAGCTTTACCACCTCAGAATAATGTCTGAGAAGAACATGATGGGAACATTTTCTACATAAAACTCTATGGGGTATGGCAGTATCTCATTGCCTACTTACCAGGGGAGCACACTTCTCAGAGCAGGGTGTCACTACCCTCCCACCACCCACTTCCAGGAGAAGAGAGATCAGCCAGGCCCACTGTTGACTGCTGGCTGCTCAGTTGACACCACACCAGGCTCAACTCAGGCAGTTTCCATGGAGAGCATGCCTCCTCCCAGGCCCAGGCTTCTGAGACTCAACAAAGCTTGCAAAAGTCTCTGTCTTGAGTCCATTTACCAGAAATAAAATGAATTCAAACTAGATTCAATTAACTAGTGTGACAACATTATTTGAATAAACACTCAAAATGTATTATATTTAAATACATTTGTTTTAATGAGTAAATCATACTCAACCTGATACATTTGGCAGTATGTCTGTAAGAGATAAGGATTATTTTTTAATATAATCACAATTCCATTATCATGTCCAACACAACAGTTTCTGACTTTGTCTTATATCCATGTTGTATTCATATTGTCCCCATCATATAGAATATTTTTTTACATTTGAATTAGGATCCAAAGGTCTATAAATTGCTCTGGTTAATATGTCTCGATTATTTTGTAGTCTTAATATTTCTTCTTTTTCTCCTTCTTTTGAAACTTCTATGCCACTTAGCAGTTAGTTTTGAAGATTCAGTTACTTGTCCTATAAAAATGCCCTACCTTTTGGATTTGTCTGTTTGCTGCTTTGTGGTGGTGTTTGATTTTTCCTACCACCCTGTCTCCTCTTACATTATTAGGCCTCTATTTATTACTTGATTGATGCAGGTTCTTTTTTCTTTTTCTCTTTAAAAAAATTTTTTGCACAAATATATCATAGATGCCAGGCATGATGGTGCATGCCTGTAATCCCAGCACTAAGGAGGCTGAGACAGGAGGATCATTGCAAGCTCAAAGACAGCTTGGGTTTCATAGTGAGTTCAAGACCAGCCTGAACTACATAGCAAGACCCTGTCTTAAAACACGCACACACACACACACACACACACACACACACACACACACACACACGAGCATATGGCATAGATGGTATTGCATCCATCCTACAGAATCATATAAGGAAACATGTCAGATTGCCCAATTTTAAAAGATTTAAAGTTGATCATTGGCTTTAGCTGTTATTAGCCTGATCCAGACATTCGAAAGATCCCCAGTAATTTTCCACCTCATAATTAAAGCAATCATTACTGATGATTGCTTTTATCTACCATTTCATTAGGAATTGCAAAATGGTGATTTCTAAAATCCTATCATTCTTTCTGCCTTTATTGGCCTGATTCAAAGAGAGGGAGGGAGAGAGAGAACTTTGCCTCATCAACTATTTGTTTACCCTAAAATACAGTTTGAATGTCTGAACAGAAGGGTAGGGTATTAGTCCTTTTTCTTTCATTCTTCAGTTTCAGACTAATGAGTTGGTACTCTGGCAATCTCTAGAAAGAACCAGTGAATTTTAGTGTCACATGAGCTCATACATTTGTCACAATCCAATCCATTTATTATTCTTTTGGATGCTTAAATTTTACCTTTGAGCCAGAAGTCCCCTTCAGATAGCTTCCTTGCTGTCACAAGATGTCTCAGGCTTAGGGTTGGGGGAATAGTTCAGAGGTAGACCACATGCTTTACATTTGAGAGGCCCTGGTTTCAATCCCCAACACCAAAAAAAAAAAAAAAAAGACCTTCCAGGCTCTTCTTAAAACATTTCTTGTTTCAAGCCTGGAATCAGCCATTTTTCTACAGAGTTTGCTTCCTCATGGTAGAAATGGTATTTGGCGACCACAATTTGGATGGGCTTTCATTGCTACTAGATTGTCTTTTACTTGTAGCTATACTGCAGGTCAGAGCTAAACAATACATATTTTTTGAAAGAAAACTAAATATTAATTCATACTGGTTTTTCCAATTTAACATGAAGGTAACAGAGTTTTCATTTAACTTTGTTTTTTTGTATTTAAATCTTTTTTGCTGAAATGCTTGATTGCTAAGGATATTAACATAATGATAAATTTGAATATGGCATATTTTTAATAATTTCAAAATAACCATGCTAATATTAATTACTAATGATATGAAATGAGAGTCACTGGGAGAGATATACAGTCAGGCACCATGTTTTAAAATCACTTAATCTCTGTAGTCATGTCACTAGCTTTAAATATATTTAGGTTCATTTTTTAATTGCTTTACTTCATATTTTTATTTTAATTTTAATAATGATTTTATTTTTATGTTGGTTTCAACACCAAAACTATCAGTGAAGATACATAAGTCTGTTGTCTATTTCTTCCCTTCTCTATTCTCTCCCCTTCCCCTAAAGGTTGCTCATTTTTCTGTTACTCTTTATATTGTTTATTTTTCAAAACTACATAATGAATTTTTAAGTTTCTAAATGGTCATTAGGTTTGAAAATGGGCCAAAATAATTACTTTTGAACCATTTTGATTTCCTTAGCTTTTTTTAATTAATTAGTTTTATTGGTACATTAAAGAATACAATATAATGGCATTCATCATTGGAAATTGCACCTTTAAATAATCCATCTTGGTTTTTATTTTTCCCCATTCCTCCTGCCCTCCCTTCAACCCCTCTTCCTGATCTACAAAGACTTTGTTTCCATTTTTTCTTTTTCTCACATTAATTCCATTCCCATCTTTCTTTTCCCCTTACCCTTTCCACTTCTGCTTCCCCTTTGCATCTTTTCTTCCTATTTCACATTATCTATTATACCTTTTAGTCTTCATTTACACTTTCAGTCTCACACTAGAGAAACTATTCAGTATTTACACATAGGCGTCCTTTTTATTTCAGTGAATAGTATCATCTCAATGTGCATCCATTTAGCTATAAATGCCTCTAGTTTCTCATTCTTTATTTCTGAGTAGTACTCCATTTTATGAACACACATACACACACACACACACACACACACACACACACACACACAGATTTTCTTTATCCAGTCTCCTGTTGATGGGCAATTGGGATGCTTCCAAGTTTTAGCTATTACAAATTGTGCTGCTGTGAACATGGGTGAGCATGTATCACTGTGATATGGTTATTTTAATTCTTTGGGGAAGATACCCAGCAGGGCGATAGCAGGGTCTAATGGGACCTCCAATCCTAGTTCTTTGAGGTATCTCCATACTGATTCCACAGTGGTTGCAGCAGTCTGCATTCCCACCAGCAGTGGAGCAGGGTTTCTCTTTCTCCTCAGCTCCACCAGCATTTGTCATTGATTTTCTTCTTGGCACTTCTGGGTACTACCCATCTGACCCCACCACACCTTACTCCTTGGCTTAAAACTAAGGGGAAATCCTGCTGTTGCTTGTGGCTTCAGAATACCCTGAAACTTTGTACTTCTACTTTTCCCTGCTCTCCACTGAGCCTGGGAAGAAATTCTCTACTTGTGTTCGACATGCAGCATAGCACAGTGACCCTGAGAGGAAGCCTCCTTTGCCCAGACATGGACTCACTGGTTTCCATGGCTGACATGTAACCTCTGGGTCCATGTACTGTGAGGCGCAGGAAGCTGATTTGAGGCAACAAAGAGAGTTTCTCAAAACTGAAAAGTAAAAAAGTCTAATTCCCTGCTCTGGCCATCTTTTCTGTGGCTAGAAAACAGAATACACAAATGCACACAGGCTTGGAACACTTTGGCTCCTTGAGTCTCCCAAATCATGTGGCTTTTGAGTTGACCTTGGTTGGAACAGGGGAACACGCAAAATGATGGTGATGATGATTACTAGAGGGCAGTCCTTCTCTCCAATAACAATGGGAAAAATCCAAGACCCCATTAGTTTAAAAATATCCCTTCCCTTGGATATAGCTCTGCTGCCTCTTCCACACACTGTCTTTCAGGTGCCTGTGCAGTCCTGGTTCGATGACATGACGGACACGGAGCTGCTGGACCTCATCCCCTTCTTTGAGGGGCTGAGTCGTGAGGACGACGTGTACAGTATGCTGCACAAACTCTGCAGTAGGTAGCCCTGGCCTCAGCTGCCTCTGCCTGTGCACTCTGGAGCCTCTGACCTCGGGGGACCTACCTGGCCTCAGCTCTCTCAAGCTGATAGTGAGCAGACTCCATGCGCCAAGCCACAGGGTGAATGTGGCTATGCCTACCTGATTTGTTTTTAAGAACAGAAGCAACTATTTTAAACAAACAAAAAAACTCTTTTAACAAATTTCATAAAGGGACATGCATTTTACTGGATTTGCTTTTCTTAAAACATACCAAAAACAAAAAAAAGGGGGGAAAAAGCTTGATATCTATCAGACTCCTTTGAACTGTCCTCCCCTCCAAGCAGACAACCTGTCCCCTTCTGCCCCAGCTCTGAGCAGCTGACCCAACTCAGAATCTCTTTCCTACAGGATGAAGTGCCTTTTTGAATGTTATTTTAAGCTGAGAGTTAATTTTTCTACACAGCATATTTCCAAACATCTTTTAGTCTTTTACTACCTTAGATGCTCTCAGAAGATGAACATGACAATTTTCCAGAGCCTGTTATTGTGTGTGTGGTGGGGTGTGGGCTAGCAAGGGAGGGGATTGAGTCATAGGAGCCTGTCTCCCAACAGGTGCAGCTTTGCTCTGGCCCCTGTGGCGTGTTGCGGGGGGGGGATCAGGCTCCCGTTGACATGAGGGTTTCATTGTGACTGTGTCCTTGTCCACACTCATTTATAACCCACTTTGGAACGTATCTGCAATTGTATAGCTCCACGCTTTAGGAAACAATTGGTTCTTTTATATTATGATTTCTGGCGGTGACAAATTTGTCTTGAGGCCACATTTTCCCCTTGAAAAGTGACACCCTGTCACTTCTGCTTCCATATTGCTGCCATTCTTCTGTGTGTTTTTGTTTTCTTGTTTTCAATTTTGGTAGAATAGTTACAAGAAACCCTAAAGCCCTTGGATATATATTTTTTAAAAAACCTGTTTATTGATTTTTTAGATCTTTCCTTTCCAAAAGCTGGATACACATGGAGCTGTTTGGGAATTTTCTTTGCTGCTACCGCGCTGCCACCAAATGGAATTGACCAGCGGCTGTTACACTGTTCTTTGCCACTGTGCCTATGCTCAGAATATGCTCACTGCTAAGCTACAAACTTGGACAGAGTCAGAAACAGGTGTCCCACTCCGCTGCAGACTGCACCACCTGTCTCCCTTCCCTGGTACTGCGGCCAGGACAGCAAAAGGGTACAAAGGCAAAAGGGCCAGAGCACCACAAGATGTGCTGTTAATTTTAACATGCAGTCAGCATCAGATCCCGTGATAAGCTGGCTGTTCTCTCTGGAGAACCTGTGGCTTCAACAAAGCACCAAGCCGACATGGCCTAAGTTCATCCCTGGTCGTCGTCTTAGAAGCACAGGCTGTTTTGAGCCCAAGGTTGGGTAAGCCTGTCTAGATGTGAAACTCTTCACTCCAGACTAGGAGGAAGAAGGGCTCCTCCTCTGAACTTGGGCTCTCCTTTCAGCCTTTCCCAGTTTGGTATTAAGCAGTGCTGTGATCCTTGTTTGACAACAAGGCAGTCTATAAAGTATTGCTCTTCAAAATAATTAAAAAGAACCCTCTTGTGTTGGCACCATTGCCTTAGTCCTCTGTGGGTTGGGTCTCACTCAGCCAGAGTTCTGGTGGGAGCAACTGGCACTAGCAAGACTTGGAACTGGAGGTCAAAGTAAAATTTCTGTTTTTTTTTTTTTAATTGCTTTCATTCACAAAATAATGAAGCCAGCTGCCAATCATGCCCTACCAACAGCACTTTGCACTGTGGGCTCCTGTGCATTCAGAAGAGAAATATTCAGGGGGTAACCAGATCTCCCAACATTCTGAGTGTTACCCAGCAATCCACATGCCAATTAAAATAGAAATTTCCCCTTGCGAGGCATTACCACAGATGACAATTACATGGCAAATCTGCACATGCCACAAACCTTTATTTGGGGAACCAGTCATTAAATGACCCCGCTGCCTTAAATGTCTTGAATGTTGCAGTCAAGTGTCTGTTACGTGTTGATGTCCACATGGAACTAGGCCCTAACGAGAGCCTTAGACCTTCACCCATGCCTCCTCCTGTGTTGGTGTCACAAAAGGCCAATGCGTAAGAGGGGCAGAGAGGATGAACTTCCAGAATGTTTCAGGGGAAGCTAGCCTAGGAAAGTGTTCCACTTCTGACAGGTGGAATGAAACCACGTGGCAGACTTGGCACCAGACCCTTCACCTACTAGTTCCCGCATCTGTGAGCGCCCTTGCACTGCTGTTGCACTAATCCATTGTGGAGCTGATGGGGAGGGAGCCTGGTCCCCGCCATCACAGACACAGAATGTCCTGGGAGGGCCTCTGAGGGTTCTGCGATTCTGTGCACCTTATTTGACCACACTCCAAAATTCCATTTTTATTTTAACCCTTGATTCTGCTTTATGTACATAAGTGAAATATCTATATATTTTTTAATCATCTACCTGTAAATGAAGCAATAGAATTCTAACATTAGGGCCAAGAAATGAGATAAATGTTTAGGGTTTGTGTTTTTTAATGGTAAATACGGGTATTGTTTTTTATTCTTACCTTTTATTAAATTGTGGGCTTTAAAACCTAATGAAACCTATTAGCTACTCTCTGTGCCATATATTTCCCACATTACCAAAATACTCCAACTCTTTAGCCAAGAGAGAAGTCTGACCCCTGAGTTTCCATGGTCCTCTCAGTACCAGGTTAAAATGTAGTCTCCTGGATAAGTATACTTTACATTAAGAAATGAGACAGGATTCCTTAGGTTCATGGGCTCCAAACCACCATGATGTTATCACATCTCTTGCCAGGCCTTGAGTTGGGGGGAACTGAGAATTCCTGATGCTGGTAGTGCTCTGTCTTCCATTTGCTCTGGAATCCTGTGTGTTGGTCTGTGGTTTCACACACTAGTTATTTGTAAACTGCACTGTGTACTAATAAGAAACACTACCTGTCATGGTCGATGGTCAGTGGGGAAGCTCCTTTAACGTGGTAGTTTTGGTGAGATGACTTGACATGGAGATGCCCTAATGACACTGACGTGTTGTGGTTACAGCATTTGAACTTTGGGTGTAAAAAAGAAGTCTGTAAGTCTCTTGGTAACATTTTACAACCCTGTATTTTAAAGAAAGCTTTCTAATAAAATCCAGAAACACAGCCCTGTGGTCAAACACTCGTGATGTTTGTGCCTGTGCTTTTAAAGGTGCTGTGCTGGACTGTTGGTATGCCAGGGTTTGAGAAGAGTGGATGGCTTTGTGTAGTTGGAATTATACGTACAAAATTGTCTGGCTGCCTCTGTTCCTTTTGTACTGTAAAACTGATCATGTCTGTTCCTGTTCCATTCTCCCAGGAGCTTCTCTGCAGACTGATATCCCCTCCTGATAGTGGAGATGTTGCTGTCTAGTAGTTATGGATGTCTACTAGACATTTGAATGTGATAAACAATCCAGCATTACGTGCGAAATACTACATGTGGAATGTGCACGTTTCCAGGGATGAGTATTGTCAACCAAGAGGTTTGCAATGATTTCCTTCTGCCAAAATAAACACATGAAACTGCACTCTCTTGTGGATGGACTGGTTCTCCAGTGGCAGCGCCTCTCTTTTCTCCGTTCGCTGTCAGATGCCAGCACACTGGCTCTCCTATATACCCCAGTTCTGGAGAGCAGGGTGCATGAGAGATATGATGAAGGACTCTAGGAGCCACAGACCATGACTAGGGGCAGCTAAAAAACCATCCTTCCCAAGTTGTCTGTCACCAGAAAGGTAAGAGTGTTTGCCCCCCTGGCTTCCTTTCTCTAGACAAAGCAATCTGGCTCACCATCCTCTCATAATGACTCCAACCCTACCAGCAGGCTGCCAGATACAGTAAGAGAGAAACTTAGCCCCTGCCACATAAGAGCCACAGGCATTGTGTGTGATGCTTAAACCCATAGCCTTTAGGCACAGTAGCTAAGATGTCATTACCAGAAGCAGCAAGACAAGAAATCAGTAAGACTACAGATGTAGCAGATTTCTCACAAGATATCCTGTAAGCAAAATCCTCAGACTGCCTGTGTTGATGAAGGTAAGAGGAGCTGCAAAGCTCCTGTGCTCGAGATTCCCAACAGGGACATGGACGTGGCTTCCCTTATCTGCTGACTCATAATTATACCTAATTCTGATGCCAGAACACCAGTGTCAATGATCTCATCAGGCAGATCTTATCCTCATTTTATGGATGAGGAAAGGAAGGCCTCTAGAACAAAGCTCTGCGGTCTCTGTCCTGGGATACTGGGTTCTGCTAGCATGTATGGTCCTCCCTCCATATCCATGGGTTCTACATGTGCAGATCAGACTGACCACATGTCAGAAATATTCAGGAAAATAATCCCATCGGTCCTGGACATATACAGTTTTTTTTTTTTTTTTGTCATTTCCTAAACAACACAGTATAACAATATTTACATAGCATTTATATGTATTATCAGCAAGAGATCATATGCAAAAGCTACATTTTATGCAAGAAACTAGAGCATCCATAATTTTGGAATGCAAAGGGGTCCTGTAACAAATTTGCCTTAGACACCAAGGAACAACTGTATATTCATCCCTGACCACCCAGGATATGGTATCTGTAGCCACAGATAGTCTGTGCTGTGACCTAGGTGCCCTCTCCTCACAGTGGAGCCCCTAGCTCACCAGAAAGAAGTCAGTTTGGCTTCCCTGATTCTGACTCCTTGGCTCTGTCCCTTGCCCACTGTCTCCACTCTACTCCTCAGTCCTCTCAACCTCCTCTGGCATCACCCCCATAACCCCACCTGCTTCACACCTCAATATACAAACAATAAATGGCTGTAAATTGTGGCAGCCCTGAGACAGGTGTCCTAGGGAGACTCCACAGATGGGAGGGAAGGAGACAGGTCGTCAGAAGTGCAATTATGAGGGACATCTGCACACTAAAGTTTCCTCTCCCGATATTTTCTAGTTTGAGCACAGATCATCTCTATTATTGGGCCAAACATGAAGCCAGGAGGCTGGGAAAAGGCAGCAGGGAACCATGGCACAATATCTGATGGACAGTCTGTTGAGCTTACGAATAAGGAATGCCCTGGGCATGTGTAGAATCTTCAGAATAACTGGGGGTGTTTGAGTGGTGCAACCCTTATGCCGTGCCAGAGATGCCAGTAGCTGTGAATCTTCAGGCTGCACAAAACCCAGAGCTACCAAATGACATTGTCACCAGCCTGACCACTGAGAACAGATCAGCAGACTCCCACACACCAATCTGGTAGAGGACGTGTGTCCCAGCGAGGTTCACCTAAACCTCCATTGCACCTCCAGCTCTGACACACACACACACACACACACAAAACCAGTTACCTAAGAGCTTTTAAAGATAGAGATTCTGCACACCTATAATCCCAGTATTTTGAGAGCCTGAGGCAGGATGATCACAAGTTCAAGTCTTGTCTGGGCAATTTGAGATCCTGTCTCAAAATACAAAAAGGACTGCAGGTATAACTAAGTGCAGAGCCCTGGGTTCAATCCTCAGTTAACAACAAAAATGGATCTCTTTAAGTCCACACCTCCACTACTTAAATGTAAACCTCTTGAGTATGGGGACCTGCATCATGCTTTTAAGTGCCCCATATGATGCAAGTGTGCAGTGAAGGCTGAGAACTGCTCTTAACTGGCTGAGGAGGAAGAGCAAGCCCCTCAGAACTGCTCCAAGCCTGATGCCTAGGAATAGCAAAGGAGGTGTGGGGACTTTGGAGGTTTGATGTGTTCTTTTCTCTGAAAGAGCAGCCGTGTATGTTCATTACTGGAAAATTAAGAGAAATCCAGAAAAGAACAGAGAAAGCCCCACCTGGGCACTGGGAGCCTTTCCCAAGGAAAGGGGAAGAAAGTGCCTAATAAAAGCCTTTACTGGCTGATAGCAGCCTCTCCTCACATGGAGATGGAGAAAGGGTGGATACCCCACTGCACCCTGGAGCCTACAGTATGGTATCCACCAGGAGCAGAACTCAGCTGTGTTCCCTCCCTGAGATGTGGATGACTGTTCTGACCCAAGCTGTGTCCTGATGGTGGACTACCCCACCCCACTGCTGTGGTGGCAGATCAGTGATGCCTCCTGGCAGGTTGGTCTTAATCTGCCCTGGCACTCTAGAATTCCCACCGTGTCCTCAGGGCTTTTTCCTTCCCTAGTGGGACAAGTCACTTCCCCACCTTCGGCCTGCCGCCAGATGTACGAACCCCTAGGTACTCTGCCTTCTTCAGGTGAAGGGCCAGGGTGACTCCAGGCAGTTGGCCCCTGGACTGGAGTCAGCACCTCCTTCTTCTTCCCTGTGTCCCTGGGACTCCAGAAGTGGCAGTCTTCTGCATCTGCTGGGGAGGGAGTAAGATGAGTTCTGACACCAGGTCTAGGTGGGAGCTGGAGCTAGGATACCTGGAAGTGGAGCCTGGCGTGGTAGGGTCCACCTGGGACCACTCCCTTGCCCGGGTCAATATTGACAGGGAGTGGTTGGGCCTTAGAGGGCAAGCATGCAGGAACAAAGTAGCTCCCAGCCCCTGAAAACCTGGTTGGAGTGGCCAGGGTCATATGGGAGGTCAGTGAGATGAGGGTTTCAGTGACAGGATCGTGCTAGTCAGGTGAGCCCAGCTCAGAGACAGTCTAACTCTAGGACCAGGAAGGGGAAGTGGGAGGAGGGTGGAGCAGGGGGAGTGGCAAGGGACTCCCTTGCTCTGAGAGAGGAGGAGGAAGAGGCTGGCACCCACCCCCTCATTCTGCAATGTTGTGAACTTACCCTGGGTTTCAGTGTCCTCTCTGTCAACCATAGCCACAATCCAGAGATTATCCACCCCATACACAGAGGACCAGGCCCCAGACTCACCGGCCATCTCTCAGGCCTGGGACCACAGGTCACAGGGGTGGAGCAGTTCTGCTCAGGCAATATCTTCTCTGTTCAGGGACCCAGAGGATTTTGAGGGGAGCAATCATGGAGAGGTTCACTAAGCAGTAGAGGCTAGACTGGCTGGGGTTGGGGGATCCTACCCAAAATGAATCTTGGAGGGATGTCATCCCCCTGGCTTCTCAGAGGAAGAAATACCAGCTCAGAAAGAGCACAAGAATTATCTCTAGCCCTTGTTGCTGCTACTGTGTGTCCACATGAACTGTTGTCCCTCTACCACCCTGCCCATTATGGACTGAAACCTCTAGGAACTATGAGCTAAATAAACCTTTTCCCCTTAAAAAAACAAAACAAACTGCCAGGCGTGGTGGTGTACACCTGTAATCCCAGCACTCAGGAGGCTGAGGCACGAGGATCGCTGTGAGTTCAAGACCAGCCTGGGCTACATAGTGAGTTCCAGGTCAGTCTCAACTACATAGTGAGACCCTGTCTCAAAAAACCAAAAAAAAAAAAAAAAATCATCTCTAAAGTCACTTAGGCAGTGAGCACTGGAGAAGGGACAGGAACCTAACTGGAATAGACAAGGTAACTGCTGTACCTCAGCTGTGAGCCCTGTTTTGAGCCAGAGCCCCACAAAGGATAGACACACACACACACACACACACACACACACACACACACACACAGAAGAGCCAGGCACAAGACACAGAAACATCAGCAAATACTAAGTTACTATAGTGTACCAGCACTGTTCTAGACACACATACGGCAGTGACTCTGCCCACAGGGAACTCACAAGGACCACAGGGGTCCAAAAGCTAGGATATGAGAGTGGGAAGTATCTGGGTGAAGGTGAGAGGTGCACCTAAATTGAGGCCTAGATGCCCACAGAAGGGAGGACCTGAGGAGCAGCCTCCTGATGGTGAAATGAGCAAAGCTGAGACCAGAAGGAACTGGGCGTCTTCAAGAAAAAGAGCAAGAATATAGCAGTGGAGGGAGTGACAGCAGATGGGGCAGGAGGAGGTGCGGGCGGTCTGAGACTTCATTCTGGCTTTAGCCCAGAAGCTTTGCAACAGGGGCAGATTAATTCGACCAAGTGTCAGATTCTGAGATGAGGGCTTCAGTCTAGCTAGTCAGAATCCTAGAGACAGAAGACCGGAGGGTGGAGAGGAGGGTAGGCAGCTGTTACATAGTGGGTGCAGAGTTCCAGTTTTCAGCATGATAAAGTCTTCCAGAGCTGGATGGTAATGGTGGTGAATGTCCTTAATGCCACAGAGCTGAACACTTAGTAATGTTTGGGAGAGCAAATTTGAAATGTGCAGTTAGCCTTCCAATCTGCAGGTTCCACATCTGTGAATTCAACTGACTTTGGATTGAAAAATATTTGGGTAATAGTGTCTGTACTAAACATGTACAGCCATTTTTCTTTGTCATTATTTTCTAAACAATACAGTAAAGCAGCGGTTTACTTGGTATTTACATTAGATTCTGTTATAAGCATGCTACAGATGCAAGGTGTGTGGGAGGACTGTGCAGGTAATCCGCAGATACTACTTCATTGTATATAAGGGACTTGAACATCCATGGATTTTTGGTATCCACAGTGATCTTTTACCACAATTTTTTTAAATTTTGGAGAAAAAAGCCGCTCTGGCTGCTATAAGAGGTTGAAAGTTGAGCCAAGGAGGCCAGCAGTCAAAGAGGGTGACCCATGCCACCCCCTGGCAGCGGATGCTCCCGGAGCAGGCCAGGAATCAGGAGGACTTGCCAGGATCTGTGAGGAACCGGCCCCACTCTGGCCAGTGGCTGCCCAGTGAATGTGAAGGAAAGAAGAGAGATAGGTCAGCTCCCGATTGCTAAACCTTGTTCCTGAGCCTCAGCGAACATAGATCTTAGAATACTGAGGTGGACACCCTGGGAGAGATGCACCCACCTTTGGGCAGAGCAGACTGAGGTGTGGGTGGGGACAAGGAATGGAAGTTGGAGGCAGGAGAGACACCCTTGGGACTGGAACTGGGAAGGAAACTTGAAAAGAGATAGCAGTTAAACCCTGAGCTCCATGCTGCTGACATTTAGAGGCCCCTCAGGAGAGAGCCGGAGTGAGAGAGAAGATGGTGACAACCAATCCCCACTGTTGACCTAGGAAGAAGCCATGTGCAGGGAATGTGAGAACAGAGACCTGCAGAGTGGCAGAGGAGGGAAAAGGGCGAGCAAGTAGGAAGAAATGAGAGCACAGAATTTTTCTGGGCAGGGGCCAAGAAAGCAGGCAATGGGGTATGCACAGTCAGCCAGACACACTGTTGAGATAAGCAGTGTCACAAGTGGGGATCGGGTAGGCACGCTGTGACACAGTAACACGCCGGGACTGAGTACCCTTCACACACGGAACCACAGCCATGTCTGTTAAGCACAGGCGTACCCTGGCTGTAGACCCTACTGACCTAGTTTCTAGAGGCTCGCCCCCCCCATAGAGACCTTTATGGGGTGAAGAATGGGCACAGGGAAAGAGTTTGGGGCCAGTGGACAAGTGGAAGCAGCCTGTCCTGGCAGTGAGAGCCCATGGCCATGCCTGAGGCCTTATTTCTAAGGTAAACGGAGGTTTTGCCCCTTAATTTCTGTTTCCAGCACTGGCACCCCACAACCACGTGGAAAAGTAGGGGAGGAGTACAAAGTGTGGGAGAGGTGGCTTCTCTACAAGGGCTGGACTGCCCTCTCCCATGATGGGTATCAGGGCTCCCTGGGGAGGGTTCTGCTGGGCAGCCAGCCCAAATTAGGAGGTGGGGGTGGAAGGGGCAGGGAGACACCTAGCGGGAGCCTGACTACCTTCCCCCATCTTCTGTGATACCTGCATCTCAGCCTGACCCACGCTCCACCCGCTTGTTCTGCTTTCTCCTGAAGTTTTCTGCAGTGCCCCCAGGGGTCAGAGGTCAGGGACCCATGAAGTTCCCAGAGAAGGAAATCACCACTTAGCCCAACCCAGGCTTCTATACCTTGCTTTTTTCTGGCCACTGGTACCCAGGAAATGAGGTGAGCTTGACAGGCCTTGTAGAGGGGGCTGGCTTCTGTCAATATTTGTTGACTGATGAACAAATTGATTAAGTTTGAATGTCCAGCCCTCTGAGCACTAAGGGGTGGGGTGTGTCCTGCAGGGCAGGAACTGGGATTGAGTTACAGTGAGCAGAGCCTGGCCCCTTGCCAGGCCCAGCACTGTCCACAGCCAGGGCAAAGGCACAGGAGCAGTTTCCAGCAGGTAGGCCTGAGCAAGAGGGGCTGGAAACCCGAACCAGTGGGGAGGGGAGGGCTGCTCCAGGCCCGGGTGGGAAGCACAGAGTCCCAGGCTCAGCACTGCAGAGCAGAGGCTGACAGAACCTGGGGACAGCGAGCAGCCCGGCAGGTAAGAGGACTGGTGGGGGTGGAGTGGGGGGGAAGGTGGGGCACTTGTGGCTGCCAGCCCAAGAGGAAGAAAGTGGAAGGTTGTGTGACTGAGGCCCCTCCCCAACCTCTTTTTCCTCCCCCTCCCGCTGGCAGCCCCCTCTCTCCTCACTGAAAGTTGAGCACTGTGCAGGTACCCAAGGAGGAAGTAAGGCAGGGCCCACTGCAGCGAAAGCGGGGCACATGGGGAACAGGAAAGGGCTCTCGGAGGGCAAAGGGAGCCTTCAGAGGAGGAAGGGAGCAACCTGGTAGAGAGAGGAGAACCTAGGCAAGAGGAGGGAGAGGCTAGAGGAAGAGGAACCTGGAAAGGGGGAGTCAGGGGGTGAAGCAGACAAAGAAGAGGACCTGGAAGAGAAAGGCGGCACGTGGGAGGAAAGAGGCTTCCAGGAGAGGGAGAGAAGACACAGGGTGGAGGTCCCCACTGCAGGAGGATATGGAAGGGAATTCCACAAGGGAAAGAGGAGACATCGGTGGGTGGGAAGGCTTATGGGGCTGGCAGAGGTGTTCAGGGGAGGGACCAGGCTGCAGAGAAAAAATGGACAGCCTGGAGGAGAGAAGAGGGTGTTAGGGAAGGCGAAGGACTCCCACTCTTTGAACATCCCTTTCCTCCAAATGCCCTCAAACCCGGTTGGAAACAGTGAACGCAGGGGCTTGGAGATGGGGCCTCAGCCCTGGCAGCCTGAGAGTCTGGCTCCAAAGGATGGAACTGAACATCAGACACCTTCCCAACCTCCTAGAGTTATGCTGCCCCTTCCCAGTGAAACCAGATTAGTCCCAACTTTGGCTACCAGTTTGACTTTCCTGTCCCACACGGAACCCTGACTGTCACTATCCCAAAGCTAGTCGGGGGTCTTCCTGTCTCCTGTGGCTGCTGAACATGGGTTACATCCCACAGTTCCTGTCTGCCTGTACCTCTGGTCACTTCCTGCCTAGTTTCTGGTCTTTGCCACCGGTCACTGTTCCTGCCTGTCAGTGTGCTGCTGCAGGGTCACCATCATATGTCACTACCCACTATCATGGCATCAGATTTTCTGTTGCTTTAGATCACTGTTTCATGGCCACTGTGTCTACGGGTCACACCAGTGAGCCGTTAACTGTTATGAGCATCCTAGATGCACTCAGAGTGCATGGGTAACTCCCTTCCACGCTCATGTTCACTCAGTTGGTTACAGGGCAACATGCTTCACTCATTCAGTAACTATCTACCAGTGCATGCCTGTAAGCCCAGCACTCTGGAAGGCTGAGTCAGGAGGATGGAAAGTCTGAGCCCAGCCTGTCTCAAAATTAGAAAACATAAAAAAAGGCTGGGGGTGTAGCTCAGTACTGGGTTCAGTCCCATACTGAGAGCGAGGGAAAGGGGCGGGGAAGGGAAAGGGAAGAGGGGAGAGAGAAGCAGAGAAAGACATAGAGACAGAGGCAGACCGACAGGCAGAAACAGACAGAGACAGAGACAGAGAGACTTTCCTGCCTTTGGGAATCTTCTGCGTGGTATGGGGCACCAGAACCAAAAACATTCATAATTTCATGGGATGCAGGGGGAGGTGGCTGCGTGCTGTGATGGCCACCTGCAGATCTAACCACCTGGCGGGACTGCCCCCTGGCCACCCTACCCCATAGCCTCTCACATGGCTCAGTGTTGACCAGCGCCCTTCCTGCCCACTGTGTATTGTATGCTGTGAGTTCACCTCCACAAAGGAGTGGGGAACGCTAGTTACCATGTGCCACCTTGGAGTGGTGCCTCTGATTCTGCAGCCTGGCCCTCATCTTACCCTGTTTCCCTTGGTCATGCAGGGGCAGCCCAGGCCAGGGTGTTACTGCTGTTGATAGGACAGGGCTACAGTGCATCAGGGAGAGGAGAGGAGTGGCCACCACACCAGGGCCATCTGAGACACCCAGAAGTTGACTTCTGCATCTACTCAGCCAAGCAACAGCAAGAAGAGAAAGTTGCTGCTGGCAGAATTCGAGTAAGTTGTAGAAAGAACCTCCCATGGGTTCATGAAAGAGTGATACAGGGAAGCCTTAGTTGAGCATGAGATACTGAGATGAAAGAAAATCAACAAACCTGAGAGTCCCTTACTTCCCCCAGATACTGGGCATTCCATGTTCCTTTCCCTCCCTGCGCACTCAGAACCATGGAGCACAAACTCAAGCTAAGTCTCTGTTTGCAAAGCCTGTGGCTATTTGCAGAGCCTGTATGTATAGAGTTCAGCCCTGTCTCAAGAAGCCAGCAAGTGTGCTCATGCCTCCTTTTCCCAGCACTTGTGTCTGCTGAGCTTGTTGCTTGCTGTTGGGTTTACCGTGGTCTTCAGAGATAGTCCTGCTATGTAGAGTTGACCCAGGTTTATGGAACTTTGTCTTGTCGCAGAGTTTGGCTGGTTTTGCCTGGAGCCTGGAGCTATTTTGAAAGTCTAGATCTCTTTAAACAAGTTTGTCCCTATTTCTATGTTTATAAATTTGCTTTATTTTGTGGAAACTGCCTGCATGCACAGCTATCCCTTTCTACGGAGCTAGTCTGGTGTCTTGGTCTGGGACATCTCTTTTTACCTACAGACATTTCACTGTTCGCCAAGCAGTTTTCTGTTTACAGTACCTATCCCTGTCAGCAGAACCTGTTTCCTTTACAATAAGTGTTTCTGTCTCCAGACTATGTCCCTGATGGCACAGCCTCTTTTCTCTTTTGTCTGCAGTCTGTGTAGCACCAATGACATTTTATAAGACATTTGCCAATTTGTACAGCTTACTGAAATTTCCCTGGGTAGAAATTTCCATGTGTCTTCTTGTAAGGTTTGTTTCAGTGAAGAGTTTATCATTGTCAGAAGGGTCTTGGTCTATTTGGGAGCCCTGGGATATTCCTGTAGAGTACATCTCCATTTGCAGAACCTTTGCCTGGCTGTATACTCTATTCCATTTGCATGTGCATCTGTTAGCAGAGACTGTCCCTATTGACCAAGCTTTTACCTGTTTCTAAGCGTCCCTTCTTATATAAAGCCTGTCTTTGTTTGCAGGCCCAACAACTCTCCACAGAACCCAGCCCTACTTCACAATCTTGCCCTTGTCTGGAGCACATACACTTGCAGTCACAACTCATCTCCATGCTACTCATTCAGCAGATCTTGTCTTCTTTGGAGAAGCCATCAATGTGACCAGAGTCTGTCCACTTAAAGAACCCATGGAGTAGGCTTTTCCTATCGGAAACTTTCTGTTTTGTTTTGTAAACCTTTTCCTATCTGAAAAGGGCCTATCTGTGATTTTTTTGTTTCGAAGAGCTATGTCTTTTCACAGCCCAAATACAGAGATTATTGTTGTTTTCCTGGCCTGTTCCCATCTCCCTGTTTGCAGGAATTACGTCTATTTACAGAGGCTATTGTGCATATAGAGTCTGCCCATGTCTACAAAGCCTTTGGCTAGTTCAAGAGCCTGCCTCTGTCTTGGTGTGCTTTCATTGGCCAAGATGTAGCAGCCATTCACACAGCTTGTATACGTATCTATCTGTCCATATCTGCAGGGACTCTTATACGGAGTCCCTGTCATAGGACTTTTCCCTATCTACCTTTGCAGAACCTTTTCCAGCCTGTAAGTCTCCTACCTGCCTGCAGAACATGTGACTGTTTGCAGAGCCTTTGGCTGTGTTCACAGTCTTCACTTGCCTCCAAGACTCTGAATTTCCCTTGGTGGTGCTTGTGTCTGTTGGCAGAGGCTGTCCTTGTACACACAGATGGTCTCTGTCGACAGAATTCATTTTCATCAGAAGAACCTGAGCTGGTTGCAAATGGGAAAGCTGTCCATGTTTGCAAAGCCAAAGCCTGTTTGCAGAGCCTTTTTCTGTCTACATTGCCTGTCACACTCTGTGGGTTCTATGTTTGTTTACACGGCCTGATCCTAACTTTAGAAGACCTCTGTCTATTTGCAGCTGTACCCTTGTGTGCAGAACCTGTCTTTGCAGGATTGAGTCCTATTTCAAGAGGCTTTCTCTATGTGCAGAACCTGTCTCTACCTGCTGGATCTGTTCCTATTGGCATAGCCTTTGCCTGTCTGCTAGACTACCACTATCCACAGTGACTATTCTTGAATGCAGATTCTGTGTCTGTCTGTATAGCTTGTGTCTAACTTCCTGTCTGTTTGCAGTGTTACTGGCTTCCATGCCTGTCCCTGCCCAGAGATGTCAACTCTGTTTTAAGAGCACACCTATAGACAAACTAGATCCCTAGTTGCAAACCTCTACATGCTGATCCTCAGTACCTATCCTGGTTTGCTGACTGGCACATTTACAGAGCCTTCCTAATGAAAGTCATGTTCCATGAATGTCTTGTTCACTTTCTTGTCATAGGAACACAATTCCTGACACTCATAACTTAAAGGAGGACAGATTTATTTTGGCTCACAGTTTCAGAAGTTTTAGTCCATGGTTGTCAGGTTCAAATGCACAGATGGTATGGTGGAAGGGCCTGATGCAAAGGAAAATCTGCTCACATCATGGTGGTCAGGAAGCAGAGAGAGAAGGGAGGAGCACGACCAACTCTAAACAGCACACTCAACTGCTGAGTTCATCTGTGGGCTAATGCACTGATGAGCATAGTATCCCCATGAGCCATTCACCTTCCAATCACACAGACTTTTGTGCGATATCTTAAATGTAAACTATAAATTTTAGGCTATAGAGAGCTGCAGGTAGGGAGAATTCTTGTGAGGAGCCCAGCTGGCCATGGGTTGGCTTCCGACCTAAGGACAGTGGTTCTTGTTCTTTGTCTCCCCCTTCATTCCTGCTTGGCCTAGGATGAACATTAACAAAGACCTCCCAGCCATCGACAGCCAAAGAGAGCTCCACATATGGATCATTGAGGTGAGGAGCACAATCAGATAGCCCAGCTGGTGACCTGGAAGAGTGTGGGGTCTCTGAAACTTGGCTTCTCACACCCCCAACTCAGTGTTCCCTCCTCCACCCCCTCCATGTGAGGTTCACGGGTACAGGAATCTCTGAGTTGTCACTTGGTGCCCTCTTCTCCCAGAACCTGAAGATGGTGCCAGTACCTGAGAGGGCTTATGGGAACTTCTTTGAGGAGCACTGCTATATCATCCTCCACGTGAGTCACCTGGGGAAGGAGTCTGTCAGGGGTGTGACATGGCCCAGCATGGGAGACCAGGGTGCAGACATAAGTTGTGCCATGGGGAGAGGCAGGTTGAGAGCCCTAGAATCACATTTCACAGTGGGCTGCTGCCTTGAGGCCACTGAGCCCTGCTCTTCATCTTCTCCTGTCAGGGAAAACACCTGCTTCATATCTCCTCAGTGACCCTCTGGACATCTGCAGCCTTTTATCCCTCCAGGCATTGGTACCTAGGCCCTTTCTCCACCCCTCCTTCTCTGCCCATTCCCATATACACAAACACCTGTACCCTAGGTTCTCCAGAGTCCAAAAGGCACAAAGGAAGTATCTAGAAACCTACACTACTGGATTGGGAAGGAGGCAGGTGTGGAGACCCAGGGAGCTGCAGATGCCTTCATGCAACGCCTGCAAGAGGCACTGGGTGGCCAGATGGTGCAGCATCGAGAAACACAGGGCCATGAGTCTGACTGTTTCCACAGCTATTTCCACCGTGGAGTCATGTGAGTGCAGGTGGGAATGGAAGGACAAAAAGGGAGGAGTCTGTGCTTAGGAGGGGCTGTCGTACAGGGACTATCCCTCCTTTGCTAAATGTGATGTGATGTATGTGTGTGTGTGTGTGGTGGGAGATCGACAACTTGAATACCGTACAATCCACCTATTTTAAGTATACAATTCAGTGATTCTTAGTGGGCTTGTGCAGCCATCACACAATCAGTTTTATCAATTTTCATCACCCTAAGCCCCAAACCTCTTAGCAGTCACTGTCCATTTCCCTCCAGCAGTCCTCTTCCCCTTGCCCTAGATGACCACTGATCTACTCTGTCTATGCATTTCTTCTAAATGGAACCATCAAATGTATGGTCTTTTTCTCATTTAGTATTCTGTTCTCAAGGTTTATCTGTGCTGTAGAATGTTTTATTCGCTTAACTTTTTGTTGTCAAACAATATTCCATTGTATTAATATACCATATTTTATTTATCTATTTATCACTTAATGGGCATTTGGGTTGTTTCCACATATTGGCTGCTGTTGATAATGCTGTTATGAGCATTTGTATACAAGTTTTTGTAGACAAATTCATTTCCCTTGGGTATGTATAAGTTCCCAATTAGGAACATCCGAGTCATGAACGTTCACAGATATGAATGAACCTGCTTTACAAACATTCGTAGATGTGAACAAATCATAGAAGTTGCCCACTCATGTGTCCGCTGGACATTGTCACAGTTGTGCTGCTTTGTGCTTACTGTACAGTGTGATACTGTACAGTACCCAGTCAGAGCCCAGGATGTCTGGAAGCAAGAGGAAAAGCAGTGGTGGTGTGGAGGGGACTGCTAGGAAGTGCAAACTAATATACATTGTATATTTGTGTCAAAGGTGTATAAGACTCAGTTTGTCAGACTTACAAATGAATTTGACTTAAGAACCTTCTTCCAGGATGGAACTTGTTCATAAGCTGGTGACTTACTGTACCTAGGAGTGGATGCCAATGTTGCATTGAGATTGTTTTTATGTTTCTATGTTGGTAGAAATATGTCTTTCCTGTAAATTGCTTAAATTTTTTAAAAATTAATAACTGCAAGGGCTGCAAATTTAGCTCAGTGGTTCCACCGCCTACCTTGCAAACACAAGGACCTGAGTTTGATCCCTGGGACCCCCCAAAAAAAAATTAATAACTGTGATATATTTAGGTTGAACATAGGCAATTGCCAATATCTGACCATTTCTGTTTTGTATAGTTAGGCCTAATATGTGCAAATATTGTACATAGGAGCACATGCACACAAGTATATAATGTGTACATACAGAGACACACACAATCCCTTATACATGTCTACCTGAAGATGAGCACACTTACATTACATATATGAGTGTTCATGCCCCACTACACACATATGCTGTCACCTGCTTCTCTGTATTCCTATCTAGATTCACATGGGTAAACATGTACACACTAAATGTACATATATGTGCTTGTGTCCACATCTCTACACATAAATACATGCATATTCATGCCTTATGTGTGTGCCCATGTGTTTACACATACATGCTTTCATATCTATTCAAATGCATGTATTTAACAGGCACATGGCATTCCTCATGCATTTATGTGCATGGGCTCATACTACACCCATTCCCGCACGTGGCGGTGTGTGTTTCTACATTGGGACCCTGTTCCCTCCTCAGCTACAGGAAGGGAAGCCCAGGACCTGACCTCAAGCATGTGGAGACCAACCTGTACAACATCCAGAGACTGCTGCACATCATAGGGAGGAAGCATGTGTCTGCTACCGAGGTGAGGGCCATCAGGGATGTGGCTGCCCTGTGGACTGAGCTTGGGCTGAGTGTAGTGAAGTATGATGAAGTGTGGGAATTGGCGGGCAGTGCTGAGGGCAGAGCTGTCAGCATCCCCAGGTGGCCTATCTTGACTAAGGAGAAGAGAGAAGGCAGAGCCAGCTTTAAGCCCATCTCTGCCACTGCTCCCTGGACTTTCTGTTTCCTCGTCTGTCTCCCTGGCACATTAACCAGTTGGGAAGGTGAGGCAGAAAAGATTTCACATCTGCTCCTTTTAAGCAGGACAAGGGGAGGTGATATGTTTGGGGAGGAAGTGCACAGTTCTCACACACATTGTCAGTGTCGCCTTCATGTCCTCACTCTGCCTCTTCCTATCATCCCAGGGTCTTCTCTAGTCCACAAAATGCTCTTGTACAGATTAGCACAGAGTGACCCATACTTCCATCTGTCAGGAAAGTAATGGAAGATACTGATCATGTTAGAGCAGGGCATGCTGCTGCCATCTGACCAGAATCTGGTATAAAGACCATTCAGGGGTACAATGTCCGCAATGTAGATGGTGCATGATCCTGCAGTTGGGCATATTACAGCCCACAGAGCATAGAGCAGCTCTGAGACATGCGGACAGTCCCTCAGAGGCTCTGCATTGTTACTCACAGTCCAGTGAGCATACATCTCTGGTCATGCAGGGACACCATGCAACCCAAGGTTTTGCCTATTATCCTGGCATAATTCAAGTGCCTCCTCTTATCCTCAAAGGTGTCTCTGTTTGAATAACTACACTTATCCATAGGTACACACTGCCCCCACAGAGGCACACATACACTGTGTCACTGTGAGAACACTTATCTGATATGTGTGTGAATATGTTCACACTAATTAGCGGATACATATGCCTCACTATCTATGCACACACACGTACATATGTACAGTGACAGACCTGCATTACCTCCAGTCACACATGATGAGAGATGTACACAACAACACAAAATCATCCTCAAGGTCACATGTGGTTACACAGACACATGCCTGCACAGTGTGACAGGTGACTTCAAGGTCACACATACACCTTGTTGCACAAATGCTCCATGCACACCATTGATACACTCCAGCTCTGCTACCTCTGATGAGTGCTAGTGGTATATACCTGTTTTCCTCTCTGTCCCTCCTTGGCCCTGGCAGGTGGAGCTGTCCTGGAGCAGCTTTAATAAAGGTGATATCTTCCTGTTGGACCTGGGCAAAGTGATGATCCAGTGGAATGGACCAGAGACCAGCATTTCCGAGAAGTCTCGGGTCAGTGTCTGCCCTAGGAACTGGGGGCACATGGCCTGAGGAGAAGCATGGTCCTCCAGGTGCCCATTCTCTGGCCACCCGCCAAAAGTGCGCTGGGCCCTCCACCACAACTCAGAAAGCAACTGCTAGGTACAAGTTGAGTTCAGCTCTTGCACTGGTAGTAACCTCCTGGATGCTGGAATGAAGCTTTCCCCTTCCCTCCTTTCCTGGCTCTGTAAGCTGAGTAGCGACAAAAAGGATCTGGGATGGGCATCTGAGAGACTGGGAGGACACCTGGGAAGGCCTGATGGCAGGTTCTCTCCCCACAGGGGCTGGCCTTAACCTGCAACATCCGGGACAGGGAGCGTGGTGGTCGTGCACAGATTGGTATGGTGAACGAAGAGGTTGAAGCCAGTGACCTCATGCAGATTATGGAAGCTGTGCTGGGCTGCCGAGTTGGCAGCCTGCAGGCTGCTATGCCCAACAAGACTGTCAACCAGCTGCAGAAGGCCAATGTACGACTCTACCAGTGAGCAGAATTGGGGGAAAAAAGGCTGGGTGGGACAGTCCAGGACTGCTTGTCCATCATTACTGCAGTAGCACAGCATCTCTAGAAAGCACTCCAGAAAAATCAGGTGGATTCTGGGTTGGATCAGGTGGACCTTGGGCCCAGACTGTGTTCTTGCATGACAAGTGCCAGCCTTCCTGAGATCCCTTGTATGGAAGGGGGACTAAGGCCCTGTGGAGGTCAAGGAGCCACTTAAAGCTCCACAGCAAGGCAAAAATCAGGATTCTAACCCCATGCCTTCTGTCTCTGGAGATGTGGAAGTATTAAAGGGGGGTGGGGTAGAGACCAACCAGGGAGGAACTGAGTAGTCCTAACCTACATGCCTGTTTCCCAGTATCTATGAGAGGGGCAAGGACCTGGTGGTCCAGGAATTGGCGACCTGCCCACTGACCCAGGACCTACTGCAGCAGACGGTGAGGAAGGCCTGGCCCCAGATCCCTCATCCATCCCCACCCTGTAATGGCAGTCCTAGTCTGAACCACCTAATGACCAGCCCCACACTTGCTCCTAGGACTGCTATATACTGGACCAGTGTGGCTTCAAGATCTACGTATGGCAGGGACGCAAGTCCAGCCTCCAAGAGAAAAAGGCAGCCTTTAGCAGGGCTGTGGTGAGGCCCTGGGTCCTGAGAGGGACACAGCATGTTCTGGGAGCTGCCCTGAATTCTGTCAGAGAGTAGCTGCTCTGGGGCCTCCCCTGCAGTTTGATTCGAGGGACCATGTCCCCCTGGGGTCTTGGAGGAGAGGGAATCATCCTGCCCTGGGATCCCTGACAGAGGGAGACCAGGTGGCACCTGAGATACCACATCTGTAAGGGGGATATGGCCCTGCCTTGAATCTGGGAGACTCCTGGAGGGTACCCCCTCCTTTTTTGGAGGTGAGGTGCTGAGGGGGCTCTGATGAGGTCCACGGGGATTGTCATAGTCTGCTCTTCCCTAGGTTAGGACTAAGGGGGCCCTCAGGGACCTCGGAGAAGTTGGTAGTGACAGCATCGGCTGTCAAATGGGTCATGAGCTTGGTTAAATAACATTCTCTGAGCTTGACTGTTCAGGAGGTCTAAGCAGGAAGTCCTGGGGGATGGAGCGAAGCAGAGGGCCCTAGAGCCGTGTGCCTGACAAGAGACCCCGTCCTAGGGCTTCATCAAGGCCAAGGGCTACCCAACCCACACTAGTGTGGAGGTGGTGAACGATGGCGCTGAGTCGGCCGCGTTCATGCAGCTCTTCCAGGTGTGGTCTAAGGATCAGGGCAGGAAAAAGCCTGGCGAGACTGGTGAGCGAGTGGGAAAGAGTGCGATGGGAGGGCGGGGCTTGGCCCGAGGGGGAGGAGCCTGGGCTGGGCGGGGCCTGGCAGGAACCCTTGGTGCCTCAGGAAGAGTGAGTGGGAAGGGCGGGGCGGAGCCTGGTTGAAGTAGGGCGGGACAGAACCTACTGGGTTGAGTGAAGCGGGTGTGGCCCGAGCGGGGCAGGTCCAAGTCTCAGAAGGTGACTAGTGGCCCGGGGCGGGGACAAGAGCTGAGAGCCCCACTAACACTTCCCTCCTGCCTTCAGGTAAATTGATTCAGGTAAAGCTGAATGTGGGAAAGCTCTACAGCCAGCCTGAGCTAGCAGCGCAACTCAGGATGGTGGACGATGGCTCTGGGAAGGTGGAGGTGAGGGGCACTGGCTTAGCAGGGGGAGATGTGTACACAGGGGTAGGCTGGCATGGCAGCTGTCTAACATGACCTGGGGACACCCACGTGCACATCCACACACAACTGGGATATCTAAGAACACGTGTACACACAAACTCCCTGACAGCTGATACCTAGTCATGCCTAATCATTCATAGCCATGACTACTCGCTCACATAACAGTCATAGACACACAGCACAGAATAACACCTGGACACTTAACTGTTCTGTTACCTTATGTATGACAAACCTGAACAAGTGACAATATGGACACAGATATATCTTGTAACAACCGGGTGCATAACTGTAAACTGAAACTGCACATACACTACATCACACATGACCACGGTCACACAAAACCATCCACCCATGGGAACACACCAACACATAATCTGTCACAGCTCCCTCTACTCAGCTGCCAACACACAAACTGTCATAAACTGCCATGTGTGTTCAAACCAGTGTCTGGGGGCTGCAGGGGTTGGGGTCCATGCCCAGTCTCCATGCAGTGCAAGGTTGTACACTGGCTTGTTGGCTGACCTATAGGTAGAGCCCTTAATTCCTTAAGGCCTCAGTTTTTAAATTCATAAAACAGGGACAGAAACTGAGGGCCATAAAATGGGACCATAACTTGGGCTGGGGATTAGGCTCAGTGGTTTTGCCCCCTGCCTCGCAAGTGCAAGGACCCAAGTTTGATCCCTGGTACCAAAAAAAAAAAAAAAAAAAAAAAA